AAATAATAGGTGGGCTTATTACCAGAGGCGGGTTTACTGATAGACAGATATGGTAGATACCTCCGAGAATTCACTTCACTTCAGTTGATCCAGCAGATTGAGAATGATCAATATCAAAGTTTTAGAAATACTTTAAAATGTCTTAGGCCTCTGAATACCAGATTTACGTGACTTGTACTTTGTGTAACAATGAAGTTTGAGAACTCTGTATTGTCAGGAGACCTACTTGTACTACAGACTATACGGCAGTGTGTTTCAAAGATTTAATTACATTCTGTTCCAGTTTTGTAAAGATTTCCTGTAAAGACGTACATTAAGAATTTATAAACCTATATTTAGATCTTCGATCAGTAAAACAATGGGCCAGTCTTAGTGTTTGAGAATGTAAATATTACTATTGTTGACACTTGTGAACCATATCTCATGTCATTGTTATAATTGGAGGCTTGGTAATGGTAAAATTTTTACTACCAATGAGTCTGTGGACTTTGTCGAGAGTCCTATCATTATTGATCGAGGAGCATATATGATGAATAGTACTACTCTTGAGACTTGTGAACCATATATCTACAATGTTGTGTTTGTAATGGAGGGGGTATGTGATGAAAATATTACTGCTGTTGAGACTTGTGAACCATGTCTCCACTGCTGGCATTTTGATTGAAAGGGATTGGTAAATGTTACCTCTACTGAGACTTGTGAAACATATCTACTCTTCTATTGCTTTGGTTGGAGGAGGATCTGTTGATATTACTTATATTGAGACTTGTGAACCATATCTACACCGCTAATGTTTCCGTTGGAAGATATCTGGTGTTACTTCTGCTGAAAGTAGTGAACCATATCTACACTGCTGATGCTTTGATTAGAGGGGGAAAAGTAACTGTTAATGTTCAAATTCTCGCCTCAACACGTTCTCTGCAACTAACTGTTGTTATGGCATGTTAGTGTGAATTGTCCGACAGAGCCGAAATCCTGCGACAATTCACACACAGAAATCAATGTCTGAGGTACAGAACCACACAAGTGTGTGCGTTGTGTGGCTCTTCAGCACGGTACATCGTGATTAAGCTGTGGATACATTGAGGGAAGTGTGGGAGACAAAATCCCCTGGGTACCCAGCATATCACACTTGTTGGCAATGTTACCGTGATATTCTCGGAAATTTATGCCTAAAACAAGTTTTGACTGGATTGTGTATGTGCTAAGCAGCTTAGACAGTGGCGTTTGGTTGGACCTGTATACACCCACAGCTTGGTATACATTACCTACAGTAAACTATTAGGTGATAATTACTACAAATGATTCAGATGCAGGGTCGGAGCCCAGCTGCTACTGGTAACGACCTTATTTGGAAATTTAATGATGAACCTGTCACATGTTATGTGTATTCACATATGTTTTGTACGTACACACTGTCTGATGTCCACATTGTCGGTATAGACTGAAAATTGTGTGGAAACAGGATTTCTGTTACCAAATGGTGATAAAGTAACCCAGGTTACAGACTACGGGATCTTTAACAATGGATTTTTAAACTGTGTAACTAACACAAATTCAAACTCTGTTACATAAAGAGCACCAGTATACAGAAACATGTCAGTATAGATAAATAGCATGTGATGCTATGTTGGCAATTTTTAAGTCAAACAGTTTGGAAGTTTAAAGGAATTGGCAACCAACACTGATGAACTGCCATGATAGAATTCACGCTTTACCAACAATGGCATCGTTCTCTCCAGACCAAATTACTGACTCTGTTTTGTGCATACTCAATCATTTCTCTGTTTTTGGGCAACATCTTTCATAGACAGCGATTGTAGTACAAATTGCACATTTGCTGGCTCAGTGGCAAAGTTTCGTCCTTTTTCTACGATCATCAGCATCGCATGCCTGTGTTGTTCTTCGAGATCATTAACGTTTTTTTTATTTAAACTTTTATCATTCTTGCATTTTGGGACCAAAGAATTGATTGATCATCTGACTGCCGAGGATACAGACTCTGCATGTGTCACTGGGACGCAAAAGGTTTTATCAGTTCCGAGACTTGTGCACTGCTGGATACAGCATCGGAGTAACGCATGTGTATGATGCTGTTTTGGTGTTTCATATTGGAAGAGATTTGTGTGTAGATTTCATGTTTTAAGCCGGAAATTTGTGTGATCTCAGATTGGATCTTAAGTTTGTGTTTGGTCTTGTAGCATAATGAATTACGTTTAGGGGTATATTTAGGAGCAGGGTCGGATCGGCACAACAATACCACAGCCTGAGTTTATGTATGGAAATGTCACCTGATCCATGGACAAATTCGACCCCGATGCAGTCACAACAAGACTCTAGGATTAGACGTACAACTTTCAACAAATTTTGAAAACTTTTTAGTTCAGTTATATGTATGAGGAAATCTGCTTTAAGTTGAAAGAAACTGTTCTGATTTAGAAAAGGATGTCTTTGCTGAATTATTAAAATGGAAATTAATTTTAGTAGATCAAAGTTTTAACATTGAAAGATAATTATTATCTTACTGAATAGACCTTTTTTAACAAATAATTAATATCAAATGACTTGCATTATTGTTACCAGAAAGTAATATTTCAGTGTCATATCTGATAGAGATTCATACAAATTCTGTCTACAAAACTTCAAAGAACCAAGATAATGGCTGCAGGTAAATGATTAGATATAGATGGGTGAAAATTTGACAGCAAATCAAAGATATTTAAAATAAATATTTATGAAGATTGGTTTTCTAAATGATCAGATGTAATAATACATAGATCCAAATTGAGAATTTAATTCTTTTTCTTTGAATGTTTTTCAGAATGTGCTTAATGAAATTCTTGTTTCATCCAAAGGTATGTCGGAGGAATGACATTTATGGGATAAGAAAGCAGTAAGACAGATTGCAATACAATAGCAAAAGTTCACACGATATTCCTGAAGATATACGTTATGTTTTTATGAACAGGGATCGGCAAATTTGATGAATTTCATCAACAGCCGTTATTGAGTGGTTTGCTCTGTCATTTTAATTAGGAAGGTGTATAGGAACTGATTCGTCTCAGATTTCACTTCATTTGTCATCATTTAGCTCCAGCTGACTATGTAAAAGGTGTAATAACGATGACTAGCATTGCCGTCACCAGAAAATAAATACTAGGTGATGCTGATATGACGACTTATATATAGCTCCAAGATCTTACCGGTAAATACTTTCACTGTAATCACCAACTGATTACTTATAGCAGTATTAAAGTATCATTTTCCAGATTTTCAGGGCAGTTTGTCTGTAGGGTTTTCTATTAATCAGTCACAACGGGAGTTGTAAGCTGACAATTATTTGAAGCAATAGAGGTCATCGCAGGATTGACCTATTCTATGCAGACTCGACTTTCAGTAAAAATGTTTGATGTGACAAACAGAAAAGACATCAGTTCCCGCTGCAAAGAATTAGGATTGCCATGGTTACAGAAGAGTGGGTGTAATATATTCCAGACAATAATTTGTGACGATGTGTACCATATGGTATGGTTGTGATTCCAAAGTACACACTTTAAAAGTTGTACTGTTAATACTGAGGACCTTATTGATAATTACTGATACTGATGTGACCATCTCATACCATCGAGTCAAATGATTTATGCATTTGGGCACGTGGAATTTACAAACATAGGATGGAATAGGATTCAGCATTTATGCTGTTGATGTTATTTTTGTTGTTGTTGTTGAAAAAGAAAGTTTGGAAGCAACTGCTGAAGTGTGCCAATTAATGTTTATTTGTACAAGCACATGTGATAATTGAGGTTTCATATGAGGGTTAATTTAAACAGAGGTAAATATACTCTGATGATGACATGTTGATTACAAACCGTCTTTGCCAAGCAAAGCTATATTTACTAATCAAATTAATTCTGGTTTTTTTTAAATCTATGCATTAGTTTTTAAATATATTTGTAAAATGGAAACTTAAATGATACGACTGCCTTCTTTAAAATTATGTGATGATTTATTTTCTGTTTCACCTGAGGAGACTGAGTGTTTCAGAACTTTAACTGGACAAAATGTCACTCGGACTTGTGTACTAGAATTGGTTGTAGCCTGTGTTATACCTAAAATGATAGTGAACACATACTTAACGAAAACACCTGTTGCGAAAAGAAAACAACAAGAGAGTGACATCTGGTGTTAAGGTGTAACATCTTAACTGCTTCCATTGTACTTACATGTATGACATAAGTATTAATTATTAACACCTGTGTCAAGCTGATTCAGTCAGCTGATTTGGGTACAGAATTTATAATAAACGTTTACATGTATACAGTATCCTTGTATAACAGACATCTGTTTAAACTGTGAAGCCATATTGACTATGTAATGACTGTTGATTATTGTTATTTTGTGGTAATTGGGTTTTGAATGTGATGTCGATTGCTGTCCAAATGGTGTTCATTCCTATATTTTGTTGACACATCGGTTTCTCTTTTTAATTGCTATGCAAAACTATTTCATCTGCTGATTTTCTTGTTATAATAACACTGTTTGTTTATGTGACAATTATTCTTTTAAGATCAAATTCATTAGATAATTAACAATATTTGAAGATAAATTTATGAAGAAATATATATGAAGAACTTCACTTTGGATTTTACAACTATGCACCATGTTCCACAGTAATAATATTGTAACCAATGAACTGGCTTTAAATTCTGCCATAGCAATCGTCCATATTATCTGCTGATAAAAAAATGTCATTGTGCTTTGCTATCCTGTGATATTTTATTTTGAACATCATCATATATGAGTGAACTTTGCTGGTGATATCTGATCTGTGACCTTTGAACTGTGACCTTGGGTCTGTGAACTCTTTGACCTGTAATGTCATTAAGACGAATGGCAGAGAGAGGTTTTGATAGTTTCCAACATGTGAAGAGTTGGAGTTTTGAGTATGATGTTAATCCAATATGTCGAACTGAAAAAATCATTCTTCATGCTAATTCTAGGAGTGAGGAACCGGTCAGTTCAAACATGGACATCTCCACTGGACACATAGTTCTGGTAAGTACCATTACATTTCTTACCTCCTCTTTTTAATTTTAATTTTTGGCTTTGTGTTTTAGTCAAAACTCTAAAAACATGATGTTTCTTGTATTGAAATATGAAAATATGTTTCCAGATTATTGGTGACAAACTTTGTCTTACAAAAAAATGAATTTGTGATACGAACGATTCTCTGCTATTTTTGTGTTATTCAAGGAAGGAAGCTCCAACCTAAATAACAGGTGTCACAGTGTTTGTTTTATGGTCTGTAAACTGATGTAGATAGTATATGTATTTCAATTTCTGTTACAGTCCTACATGGAAGACCACTTAAAGAACAATGACCGTCTTGACCGAGAATGGGAGGGGCTAGGGGCATATGAAGCTGACCCCAATAGTACCAAGGTTGCCAGTGATCCATCCAACTTGCGAAAAAATCGTTACAGCGATGTCCTCCCCTGTAAGTGTTTTTATGATATCACAATCAGAATGAACCTATTACAACAATTTCCTCGGACCTTAGCAATTGTCTCTGCTGTAAGTGTTAAACATTAATCATACCTGATGTTACAGCGATGTTCTCTAATAACAGGGATTATCTCCCCTGTAAATGTTAAAACATTAAACATACCTGGTGTTACAGCAATGCCATCTGATTGCAGTGATTATCTCACACAGTAAGTGTTCATGCAATAAACATGTCAGATAATGCAGGAATGTCATCCATTAATAGCTATTATCTCCCTTGTAAGTGTTTGGCACGATAAACATACCTGGTGTTACAGCAATGTCATCTGATTACAGGGATTATCTCCCCTGTAAATGTTAAAACATTAAACATACCTGGTGTTACAGCAATGTCCTCTGATTACAGGGATTATCTCCCCTGTAAATGTTAAAACATTAAACATACCTGGTGTTACAGCAATGTCCTCTGATTACCGGGATTATTTCCCCTGTAAATGTTAAAACATTAAACATACCTGGTGTTACAGCAATGTCCTCTGATTACAGGGATTATCTCCCCTGTAAATGTTAAAACATTAAACATACCTGGTGTTACAGCAATGTCCTCTGATTACCGGGATTATTTCCCCTGTAAATGTTAAAACATTAAACATACCTGGTGTTACAGCAATGTCCTCTGATTACAGGGATTATCTCCCCTGTAAATGTTAAAACATTAAACATACCTGGTGTTACAGCAATGTCCTCTGATTACAGGGATTATCTCCCCTGTAAATGTTAAAACATTAAACATACCTGGTGTTACAGCAATGTCCTCTGATTACCGGGATTATTTCCCCTGTAAATGTTAAAACATTAAACATACCTGGTGTTACAGCAATGTCCTCTGATTACCGGGATTATTTCCCCTGTAAATGTTAAAACATTAAACATACCTGGTGTTACAGCAATGTCCTCTGATTACAGGGATTATTTCCCCTGTAAATGTTACAGCAATGCCATCTGATTACAGGGATTATCTCCCCTGTAAATGTTAAAACATTAAACATACCTGGTGTTACAGCAATGTCCTCTGATTACAGGGATTATCTCCCCTGTAAATGTTAAAACATTAAACATACCTGGTGTTACAGCAATGTCCTCTGATTACAGGGATTATCTCCCCTGTAAATGTTAAAACATTAAACATACCTGGTGTTACAGCAATGTCCTCTGATTACAGGGATTATCTCCCCTGTAAATGTTAAAACATTAAACATACCTGGTGTTACAGCAATGTCCTCTGATTACAGGGATTATCTCCCCTGTAAATGTTAAAACATTAAACATACCTGGTGTTACAGCAATGTCCTCTGATTACCGGGATTATTTCCCCTGTAAATGTTAAAACATTAAACATACCTGGTGTTACAGCAATGTCCTCTGATTACCGGGATTATTTCCCCTGTAAATGTTAAAACATTAAACATACCTGGTGTTACAGCAATGTCCTCTGATTACCGGGATTATCTCCCCTGTAAATGTTAAAACATTAAACATACCTGGTGTTACAGCAATGTCCTCTGATTACAGGGATTATTTCCCCTGTAAATGTTAAAACATTAAACATATCTGGTGTTACAGCAATGTCCTTACATACATATTTTATCTGGTAAAGAGAATCAGGCTATCATACTTGTTTTTTAATCCTTTGAACAACATACAGATTTAAGTACCAACTGTTAAGAGAACAGCCATCCTACAACTTTATACATTCTTGGATCCAACGAAACTAAAGCACAGAAATGGAAATAAAATTTCTGGAAAAATTTCTTCTTTATAATACTTGTACGCATTTAATGTGTGATACTTCTGAGTTTTTATTAATTATGGCAAATCAATACTGAAACCATATAGACTTCAAACACTGTAGAATCACTACAGAGTGCTTTGTTAGCTGTCCATGGTAAAGCCACTGACAATGTTGGCCCTTAAACTCGAATATACATGTTTCCTGAAACCATATAAATTATATAGACTTTACATTGTTTGCTATAATTAGTACTAAAATGAAAGTCATTTTCAATATTTCCTACATTAAAGATTAAAGCTCAAGAAACGTTCCTAAAATCTTGATCAAAGAACATTACGAGAGGTGTTTTGCCACTAATGTACAGCTCTATATATAGAAGCTGTTTGTCATTCTGGTGATGGCTGGAACTGTCGCAGTGTAATCCTTGGGTGTTTCTCATTTCAAACATGATAACGCTTGTAAATGATCTTAGAAATAATGACAAGATATAAAAATAAAATGCGATTACTGTAATAATTTAAATCTGGATTTGCACAAATCTAGAGTGTATTCTTGGTGATACAAGTTATCGCTATTTCGTGTCGGTGTATGTACACTCAGATACTATTGGTAGTTATGGACTAAAATAGCCTGGCTTAATATAGCCAAGTGACCCCAGTTGAAAACACAGACTCTGAACGCACAAATTCGGCAATAAAATGGATCATCATGCTGTGTGGAGAACTCTGCCAGCACGACACAATTATAAAGTTGATCGTCATCAGATTGGGTATCGGCTTTTGGCAGGACAGTTATCCTGTGCTAAAGTGATTGTGGCCATTATGGTAACGAAGGGATTAGCCATGGCGAATCGTGAGCCGTGAAGTCCTTGTGAAAGAAACGTCTTTATTGCACAGTTCTGGACAAGGAAGAGGAGTTTTAATCGTTTTTAAGTGTAAATGGTCAAACAAGATAACGCATGGAATTAATCCATCATAAATTTGATCGCCATTTGAGCTCATTGATGATGTTGCCACACTATTCCAAGTTGAATGAGAAAGTGACGATTTAGTGTGTGCTGGTGGATTACTGTCCTGGCTGCCATGCTTGTGTATTACTAATGAGACTTACTGTTGATGGAGAAACTCCATCGTCATTGAGTTTTTGCCAATGTATTTATCAATGTGTTCCACTTGGGAACTGACCGTCTGGGTAAGCTCTGTTGAGCACCTGGTGTGAAGTGAGGCAGTGAACACACATAACTTTCAATCCTTTTATTTGTCATTATTAAGTTCCAAGTGGGGTTTAATTTGAAGTATAATAAATTTATTGATATGATAAAAAATTGAGAGTTTTGATATTGAAAATAAGTCAGAAAATAGGTTGTTTTAGGAAAAAGAAAATTGCTTAAGTACTAGAAAAGCAAAGAGCACTTTGAAACATTATTTGACTTCAGATGTCTATTTGAGTGAAAATTTTGACTAGTTTGTTGTTGTCTGCTAAAAGTCTGATTTGATCTGAGAAGAAAGCTACATCCATGACATGGCAAACAAAGAAATAATTCTTTTGTGAAATTATGGGATATCTCCATAAAAGGTCATAAATAGTTTCTTCAGTAATAGGTTTTACGTATAGTTCATTGCTTTATTTGTTAAGGAGGAAATGAATTCCAAACGAAAATGACGATGTAGTTTTCTTTGACAAATATCTCCTTTATCAAATTAACCAAATGGTTGAAAATTCATTTAATCCAAAATTTGATTATATGTGTGGAAAATAAATTAGTATTAAGAGAAAATATATCAGAATATTTGGTGACTTTTGGTTTTATATGTTCTGAAGCAGTGACACTTCAAATTTGATATTTTGTAAGAATAACAGTATTTTTGAAAATGGTGGGGAAATTATGAGAGCAAGCAGAACATTTGTTCTTGGTGATGTATTGCACAATGGGGTTTTTTGGCAGAGAATTCCTGGAATTACAGGGCCTCTAGAGTACATAGAACAATTAAAAAGGCAGATTTCACAAAATTATTGTCTTTATATGATGATTGCGTTACAAAACAGAAGTTAATTGTCAGAAAGGATGCAGTATTGTTATAGTCAGCGAAAGGGAGAAAAGATACAGCAGTATTGTTATAGTCAGCGAAAGGGAGAAAAGATACAGCAGTATTGTTATAGTCAGTGACAGGGAGAAAAGATACAGCAGAATTGTTATAGTCAGCTACAGGGAGAAAAGATACAGCAGTATTGTTATAGTCAGTGATAGGGAGAAAAGATACAACAGTATTGTTATAGTCAGCTACAGGGAGAAAAGATACAGCAGTATTGTTATAGTCAGTGACAGGGAGAAAAGATACAGCAGAATTGTTATAGTTAGTGACAGGGAGAAAAGATACAGCAGAATTGTTATAGTCAGTGACAGGGAGAAAAGATACAGCAGTATTGTTATAGTCAGTGATAGGGAGAAAAGATACAGCAGTATTGTTATAGTCAGTGACATGGAGATACAGCAGAATTGTTATAGTCAGTGACAGGGAGAAAAGATACAGCAGTATTGTTATAGTCAGTGACAGGGAGAAAAGATACAGCAGTATTGTTATAGTCAGTGACATGGAGAAAAGATACAGCAGTATTGTTATAGTCAGTGACATGGAGATACAGCAGTATTGTTATAGTCAGTGACATGGAGATACAGCAGAATTGTTATAGTCAGCTACAGGGAGAAAAGATACAGCAGTATTGTTATAGTCAGTGATAGGGAGAAAAGATACAGCAGTATTGTTATAGTCAGTGACAGGGAGAAAAAATACAGCAGTATTGTTATAGTCAGCTACAGGGAGATACAGCAGTATTGTTATAGTCAGCTACAGGGAGATACAGTGGTATTGTTATAGTCAGTGAAAGGGAGATACAGCAGTATTGTTATAGTTAATAACAGGGAGAAAAGATACAGTAGAATTGATAAAGTCAGTGACAGAGAGAAAAGATACAACAGTATTGTTATAGTCAGTGATAGGGAGAAAAGATACAGCAGAATTGTTATAGTCAGTGATAGGGAGAGTGAAGATACAGCAGATTGTTATAGTCAGTGACAGGGAGAAAAGATACAGCAGAATTGTTATAGTCAGTGACAGGGAGAAAAGATACAGCAGAATTGTTATAGTCAGTGACAGGGAGAAAAGATACAGCAGAATTGTTATAGTCAGTGACAGGGAGAAAAGATACAGCAGAATTGTTATAGTCAGTGACAGGGAGAAAAGATACAGCAGTATTGTTATAGTCAGTGATAGGGAGATAAGATACAGCAGTATTGTTATAGTCAGTGATAGGGAGATAAGATACAGCAGAATTGTTATAGTCAGTGACATGGAGATACAGCAGAATTGTTATAGTCAGCTACAGGGAGAAAAGATACAGCAGTATTGTTATAGTCAGCTACAGGGAGAAAAGATACAGCAGTATTGTTATAGTCAGTGACAGGGAGAAAAGATACAGCAGTATTGTTATAGTCAGTGACAGGGAGAAAAGATACAGCAGTATTGTTATAGTCAGTGACAGGGAGAAAAGATACAGCAGTATTGTTATAGTCAGTGACAGGGAGAAAAGATACAGCAGAATTGTTATAGTCAGCGACAGGGAGAAAAGATACAGCAGTATTGTTATAGTCAGCTACAGGGAGAATAGATACAGCAGTATTGTTATAGTCAGTGACATGGAGATACAGCAGTATTGTTATAGTCAGGGTCAGGAAGAAAAGTTACAGCAGAATTGTCTCACAGACCTTTATATGTTCTGTATATGGGAAAACACTTAGTAAGAGTTTTTTCACCCTCATACGAAACGTTTAAAATAATGCCTTGTTTTAAATTAGAAATTGTCTTCAAATACTTAAAAGAAAAAAGCATCAGCTTCACCAGATTTTGTCTTACATTTCATTTTCATTTCTGTGGCAACTGTTGCAATAGTTTTCCAATAATACAGAGACTAGTTTCAAATTTTCCTGACACAATATTCAACCAAACTCTCAATTTCTTCCAAACAGTTGTATCATTTCAAAACATAAAATTTGTTGTATTCAGTTTCCTATATCAGATGAAGTTTGCCCTTCATTGTTCAGCAGCCTTAGAGATAAATCATGGAACATAAATCTCAACAATTTCTAAAATAAAACATTATAGCAGGGTGTTTCATTTTGCCCAATATAGACCAGATTTGGTTTGTAGATCTTAGCTTGAAAATATTTAATGAATGTGTGTGTAATTTTCTGTCAAGGAATGTCATTAGATATATGACAACTTTTCTTAACTTTTCTTTACACTATAGGCTTTCAATTATTAAATTTGATATCTTAGATCCTGGATAATTACAACTACAGCTAAATGTTTACCAGTGTTTTGACACGTCAAATCAATGACTTTATTGTGCCTGAGGTCTTCCAGGTTCGTAAAAAAAAATTGGCAGCATCTATTAATAAAATTGTAGGTCTTATTTACTGCTGTTATGAACAAATCATATTACCTCCCTTAAGTTGTTTTTTTAAGAGATCTCTTTGTTCAAACATACACACTGTTGAATTACCGCTCATGCTAAAATACTGTTGTTTTCCGTCACTGCCGAATACAGCAGAAATATATGTGGCACGTGTATTCCAACAAGGGCGGTGCGAGTTGCAGGATAAATAAATATATAAATACAACTGTGGGCTATTGTTTATAATTTTATCTCACTTATTAACAGGAATATTGGGTAATCAAACTTTCAACAACTTTATGTTATGTGAATGAGGCAGGAGATTTTCCAGGAAGTTATTGTAATTCAGGTTATTTTAAATTCAAATTTTCTGTAACAGATGGTCGATAATTAGATACAATACTGAATGACACAACATTACATATAACACATAGAACATAAAACACTGATATCTTTCAGATGATCATTCTCGTGTGATACTCGCAAACACTAGTAACGTATCCGGCTCTGACTACATCAACGCCAGTAGTATTGTAAGTATATGTCTATCTCCGTTGTGAAGTAACTTACTCCAAATATCAACACCACAATATCGTAATTACCTGGATATTATCTCATCGGAATTCACTCTATTCAACACTGAATAACAAATTATCAAAGTACTATACTAATTAATCACAAATGTTCCAACATGGATCACATCAAAGTATGCAGAAAAAAATATAATCTTATATTGACAGAAAGTTTAAGTGGAATATTTTTACAGGTAAATCCAATATTTCTGCTTATTATCATTTTTGTAGAGGTATGTTGAGTTTGTGATGCGAGATCAACTTTATATCCCATCAAACATAGTGAAAATAATACTATCAGGTCTGAATATACTGTTAAGTATGAATGGTGATTTTTTTCAGACGGACCATGACCCTCGCAATCCTGCATACATTGCCACCCAGGGGCCCCTGCCTCATACCATCGCTGACTTCTGGCAGGTAAGTCATTTTCTAATGCAAAACGAAGGTGAAAAATTATTTTACAAATTATCACATCATTAACAGATGTCTGTTGTTTATTTGTCAATTTTGTTGGTATTTATATCTCTATGAACGAAATAACTGTGAAATATGTGATCATTATTTACCAACCAAATCAACAACCCACATGTTTTCTTCTGAAAAACATGAACTTGAAAGCCCTGATTTCACAGTACAGGCATTACGTTTTCAGCTCATTTCATTGATTCATTTAAAGCAATAGAATTCAGTGTTGGATCAAAGGAATTATGGTTTTGATTTTTTGACTGGGACACTTATAATAAAACACTGTTAATATTGGACAGTGCACTGAAATTGAGAAGGTTAATCATATTCTTTAATATTTATCAAAAATTAGTTACCAAATTTTAATAAAGATATTTTGATATGTATAGATACATTATTATAATATTATCACTCTCTTATGACAATTTTTGTGTCATAGTTATTTCTGTGTAATAGGGGCCATCAAAATGTCCTCTATCAATTTATTGTTGAAATTGTTTGGTTTTGACAAATAGATAATATGTTTCCTCTGTAGATGGTTTGGGAACAAGGCAGTGTTGTTATCGTCATGTTGTCAAAGATGACTGAGAATGGAGAGTCCATGTGTCACCGTTACTGGCCAGAGGAAGGAAGTGACCTCTACCACATATACGAGGTAAGGCCCTTATCTGCTTAAAAGTGATAACAGATTTTAAACTTGTTCAATAAAAAAAGGATAAATTGGTAAAAGAAGAAATTATGCTGTACACTCTTCAGCATAAAGACCAAAAGACCATAATAACAGGCATCAATATGTTAAATAAACAGAGAAATAAATATGTTAATTAGTTAATAAATTAGGCTTTGATAACAAAATCTATCAATGAAAAGCTGGAGGAGATTTTTAATAATTTTATTGTTATAATCAATATTTGATAATAAAAGGCAATATCTAGCTTTATCAACCTAAGAGATAATATCTAACTTTATCAACCTGAGAGATAATATCTAACTTTATCAACCTGAGAGATAATATCTAACTTTATCAACCTGAGAGATAATATCTAACTTTATCAACCTAAGAGATAATATCTAACTTTATCAACCTAAGAGATAATATCTAACTTTATCAACCTGAGAGATAATATCTAACTTTATCAACCTGAGAGATAATATCTAACTTTATCAACCTGAGAGATAATATCTAACTTTATCAACCTAAGAGAGAGATAATATCTAACTTTATCAACCTGAGAGATAATATCTAACTTTATCAACCTGAGAGATAATATCTAACTTTATCAACCTGAGAGATAATATCTAACTTTATCAACCTGAGCGATAATATCTAACTTTATCAACCTGAGCGATAATATCTAACTTTATCAACCTGAGAGATAATATCTAACTTTATCAACCTGAGAGATAATATCTAACTTTATCAACCTAAGAGATAATATCTAACTTTATCAACCTGAGAGATAATATCTAACTTTATCAACCTGAGAGATAATATCTAACTTTATCAACCTGAGCGATAATATCTAACTTTATCAACCTGAGAGATAATATCTAACTTTATCAACCTGAGAGATAATATCTAACTTTATCAACCAATGGATGTTCAACAAAAGGATATACCTACAATAAAGACTTGTATTTTTTGCTATTTTTAGACCATCATCAATCTCCCTATATCGATGGTTTGTCATCCATCAATTGTACATCTGTAAACAATTTTTGTTACTGCTGTTTTTTGAGAATTGTAGAATAGATCTTTCTCAAATTTCATATGTAGGTTTCTCTTGGTCTCCAGTAATGCTTGTTTGATTTTTAGACTGATCAGAAAAACAAAATGGCCAACAGGTGGCGATCTTGAACTTTTTCAATGAAATTTGTTATGGCTGTTTCTTGAGAAGTACAGGATGAATCTTGCTCAAATTTTCTACTTAGGATCCTTTTGTTTCCTATTTGTGTAATTTTGGCATTGATTAGAAAATCAAAATGGCTAACAGACAGCCATCTGGAATTTCGCATTTTAATTGCTATCTCTTTAGAAGTACCCAGTGGATCTCTGTCAAATTTCCTATGTACGGTATGTTCCCCTTGGTCCCGTGTCATTCCCATTTTTATTTTGGGACTGATCAGAGAAAAACAAAATGGCTTCCAGGCAAATATCTTTGATTTGTCAAGTAAGAATTATTATCCTATTTCTCCAAAGCATTGTTCAAATTTCTTATCATCTAGAACAAAAACAGAGAAGAGAAAAGAAGGGGAAAGATCCAACTTTCAAAGACCAAATAAAGATCAAACAATGGTGGGCACAAAGATCTCTCGGGGATCTCTTGTTGGAATAGGAATATATTGAAAACAGTTTAATCTCAAGAAATGGATACCATGAAAAGAAATGTATAAGAAAAAGGATCAAGTGATATTTCAAGTTTGACTTTGTTTTATTTTTCTTTTGTCTTTGCTTAATTTATCTAGTACATGAAATATATAGAATTACTGATATTCATGTTTGACAATATAAAAATAAACCGTTTTTTGCATAAATTATATAGGGAATTTTTTTGATACATAGAAGAAATATCATAATAAGTGGGTTCTACAGTAATAAGTTTACTATTAGGTCATTACTTTGATTGACTTGAAAGTAAAAGGCAGCATTAGTCCCTCAAGCTGTTGGTGAGACTGCAGAAACTCAAACCACCTAAAAAATATCATCTTAACAGTATGTTTGGTTTAGATTCTTTCAGGTTCTATTTATGACAATTGGTAACTGGTTTCATTGGATGTTGGACATTTTTCTGATAAATGAACGACTCTCTTTCTTACAGACCATCAGAAATTTCCAAAGAAATTCTTCCATTAGAACTCTCATTACAACCGAATTAGTCCTTTTGTTAGTGAACACCAAGATGCCCTTGATTTGACCTTTAACTAACCGCAGTGTACTGCAGGGATAATCCAACCCAAACCGACCTTTGTAAATGAAAATATTGATTGAGCAGACAGAAATCCTAACTAAGTTTGTGTTCTAGATATGTGGTGTCTGAGTGAGGTAGACATTTACATTAACATGTATGTAGATATGCCCGAGACCATTGACCTAATAATGACAAAACCAACCAACAGGCTGGCTTGTGTGTGCTGAACCACAGACACATCAAATCACCATTTTAATGACGAGATTATATTGGTTTTTATTGAGATTAATGGAATGTCCAATTCCATGAAAATCATGTAAATCAGAAATTGATTGAAATTCAGTTAACTTTTCCTACCACTAATAAGTGATTTATCAAAAATTAATGCTTGCATGTTCAAATGTTCAAGTCATTGTTTTATGGGAAACAGTTAACAATTGAAGAAGTCAAACACTAAATGTGAAAAAAGGAAAGTTTTAATAATATCTATGTAAGATGATTTTTTTTATGTCAACTTAAAAAACTTAAAAACATCAGCTGAAATATTTCTGACACACAATTTTCCAAATTGTGATTTCTTTAAAGAGACAAAAACAACAAGAAAATACCAAAATGTGATCAGACTCATAATCCAAACTCAACATGAACTAAAGAAAGATTTACACAGGAGGCTGCTGAAAAAGTACAAGGAAAATAGGACCAGGTGTCCCAGAAGAGTAAGTGTCACCTGGTCCTCATCAGGATCTCCTGGCACTTTTTCCTGAGTCTCTGTGAACTTTTGTTCATTTTTTTGCCCTAGTTTCATTGAAGTTGAGTTTGAATTAAGATTGTGTTGTCGCTGATATTTTCTTTGTTGTTTCAATATATTTGCAGTTTATCAAGGGATTGATAGAAAGACAAGGTAGTTTTCACATCAGTCATGAAACAAACTGATATGATCTTGCAGTTTCAGTTTGTCCTCAAACAAAGCAACAGAACAAATTCGTTCAGAAGGTGGTTTACCCAATAATAAACCCATCCATATTTAGTATCACCAACAAGTATTGCTACAATGTCCTGTAATAAGCCCATGGTTTTATTGTGAGTCTGATGTGATATTTTTGTGTCCCTTGGGCTCATTGAAGAACATATTATGGTATCTTATGACAATGGCACAATGCTTTTTTCTGTCACCGTAGGTACACCTAGTCTCGGAACATATCTGGTGCGACGACTACCTTGTACGAAGTTTCTACCTGAAGAACCTACAGACTAACGAGACACGTACGGTGACGATGTTCCACTACTTGACCTGGCCTGATCTAGGAGTACCGTCCTCCATAAAAGCCCTGTTGGACTTCCGAAGGTAAAGCTTGTGTGTTTGGTTGATGTTTTGAAGAGTTTTTTCCACTGATACCTTATGATATAGTTGCCCTATTTTTGAAAAACAATCTAGGCTTGTTCAGTAACTGTTGTCAAGTTACCTTTACAAAATAACTGCATGGTGTATCTTTGTGTTTAGATTTGGAGCCAATATTCACGTTTTATTGCTTATTTATTTTGGGTTTTGAGGGCGGCATTTTCACGTTCTAGTTGATAGATTTGTGAAGTTATTTGTAGTTACAATTTTAGAACTTACAGGTTTGTGATTATTTTTGGACTTAATTTGATGGATTTTTGTTCCGAGTTTGTGTTTGGAATAGAAATGTCCATACAAGTTTAATGTTTCTTCATTTTAAATGGAGTTTCGACTGCCATTTTTTTTTACTTTTAGCATTCCAAAAAGATTTGAAAATTCAGCTTTTTTGTTATGGTCTTGAGAATTGATCTTGAATCCTGAAATTGTCACTTTCTGTTCTGGTGACTAACTGTGGCGTTTGTATCTGGTGTTGTGTTAGGACGTGGATCTTCTATCCTGAAGTTATATATGGTCATGTTGTTGGGACTTGAATCTTGATCGTAATATTGTTTCCGACTGTTCTGGTGACTAACTGTGGCGTTTGTATCTGGTGTTGTGTTAGGACGTGGATCTTCTATCCTGAAGTTATATATGGTCATGTTGTTGGGACTTGAATCTTGATCGTAATATTGTTTCCGACTGTTCTGGTGACTAACTGTGGCGTTTGTATCTGGTGTTGTGTTAGGACGTGGATCTTCTATCCTGAAGTTATATATGGTCATGTTGTTGGGACTTGAATCTTGAATATTGATCGTAATATTGTTTCCGACTGTTCTGGTGACTAACTGTGGCGTTTGTATCTGGTGTTGTGTTAGGACGTGGATCTTCTATCCTGAAGTTATATATGGTCATGTTGTTGGGACTTGAATCTTGATCGTAATATTGTTTCTGACTGTTCTGGGCACTAAATGCAGAGATTTGTATGGTCTTGTATGAGAGGTAAATCTTGGATCCTGAATTTGTCACTAATTATTGCAGCCACTAACACTACAGTTGTCTACTTCCCACTAATACCACGATGGACAGCTCACCACTAACACCACGTTGCCTACTTGCCACTAACACCGTCAGCGCCCCAGGGAGCTTTTGTGATTTAGCAATTGTAAATCAGACAAATTGCATAGTCACAAAAGTGATCGGGGCTCCGGCAAAGCATCTAACAGCACGCTAGCGCAAGTTAGCATGACCTTCACCTAGCACCACCGATGTCACCTGTAGCAGCTCCGGACTAACACACAAGTAGTGGCACAGTCGGTGGAGTGTGGTTCTTGCCTCTTTGATTTGTAAATAAAAACCAGCAAAAAGTGAAACAAGATACGCTGGACAGAATGGATAGTCTCTCATCACGAACTCACTGCTTCATTTCATTTTCTGGTTAGATTTGATTTTCAATTGAATGATTTTCCAGGGTTCTCTGCAGTTTAATCATCAGTATAATGACTATGAGGCACAGATATCATATTATTCCTGGCATGAAACTAAGGCATTAGATTCTCATCGGATTATTGTTTTTCTTCATGGTCTGAAAGTTCTCTTAATTTGTAAAAGCTGAAAGACTTTAATCGTTCTTTTGCTACCAAAATTCTTTTTTCCAATTAACATTTGATACTTTGGAAAGATATGAAACATACAATAACTGAAGTGGAGATATCTGTCACCAAACAAGACCCAAGATTTAGTGTTAAATACCTCCACATGTCTGTTTATTATAGAGTCTTTTATTTGTAAAAGAATCTTCCATTTAACAAAATTATGAATGTTTGTCAAATTCAGAATGCAGGTATTTTTAAAGAAGCATTTTCTGTTAACTCTTTTCAATAAAGCATGCTACTTGAATATTTCTCCATATTTTTTTAGAATTTCCGCAAAACTGAAAATAGTAATATGCAGGGACAAAAATGTGTTCTTTAATCTACTCTGTGATATTAAGCATGGCCGCCTGTGACGAGACCTGCTCATTAGGTCCATGCTTTTTATTCACCACCGCTCTGGAACGTGAGCATTTCCTAATTTATCCTTGGATTAGAAATAGCATCAAGATTGCCTGTTCCATTGATGCACACGAATAACACACCAATAACAGAGATACTGAGTAAAGCCAGCAGAAACCATGCCAAGCCAGCATCTGATGCTTACCGCTGTTACAGTAGCTGTTTTGTTTCATTTCATTCACTCAAATTTTTTTTTCAGGGCTCGAACATAGCATTCTAGTGAAAAACTTACCAATTTAACAAACGTTTGCATCAATCTATACAGTAGATAAAAACTACAAGTTTAGGAGTTCTCTGATGAACTGAATGTTTTGCCATTGTCTTTGTTTTAAAAACAATTTGAGTGTTACATATTCCAGAATCGATTTTAAGAATGTGTATTTCAGAATTAATTTTCAATGATACATATTTCAGTTTCGATATTCTATACCTCTAGATCAATTTCATTGATGCATATTTCAGAATAAATTTCATGCTATATATATATCCAAATCAGTTTCAATAATGGATTTTTTTTTAATAAATCACTGATGCATATTTCAAAATTAATTTCAGTGTTGCATTTGTATGTTTTTTAGGAGTATTTTTTACTTGTTTCTTCCTTTTGGATGTAAAGTTCCTGTAAGAAGTAGATATTACTGTATAAGATTTGTAAAATGTCAACTTTAAATAAATAGTTATGAGAATGATGTGGGTTTTCTTTTACAGGAAGGTGAACAAATCCTATCGTGGACGTTCCTGCCCCATTGTTGTACACTGCAGGTAAGAACATCTGTCAAAAATGTTTATGTTTTACACAATAGATATCAAACAAACTGTATAGTGGTTCCCTAACCAAATCTGCTCACCAGCTTAATGTATTTAGCCTCTAATTAACCCAGTGTGCAAGTACATTACTTATGACCGAATGTCACAGTGTTTGGCTGATTTTTACAAAACAGTCAAACAGCACTTGCTGGAAATCCTGTTTAACAATAACTGCTCAAAGGATGGGCTTATTAGCAGACACTGATATAGCACCAGGGGAGGGTAATCATTTCTCAGAAAGTGAGGTTGCCTTGGCTGTGCAGCTGATCAGGTAATGAATAACAATATGAATGTCCAATGTTCAGAACTATCAATTACAGATAAAATGGTAGTTAGGAGGACTTTTAACGGAGTTGTATTCCAAACTTGATTCGTAATTGTTTCATTGTCCAGCACTATTTTTTAGTACTTGGTCTTGTGTCTTATGACCTTTATCACTCACGAGTCAAAAGTTTGTTGAACATTAACCTTAACCATAAGTAAATAGCACAATGACCATTAGCTTCCAACGGTCAGTACTCTAATGACCATTTACAATCCAAGGGCCTATAGTCTGATGACCATTAACACCCAAGGGTCAATAGTCTGATGACCATTAACACCCAAGGGTCAATAGTCTGATGACCATTAACACCCAAGGGTCAATAGTCTGATGACCATTAACACCCAAGGGTCATTAGTCTATTGACCATTAACAACCAAGGGTCAATAGTCTGAAAACCATTAACACCCAAGGGTCAATAGTCTGAAAACCATTAACACCCAAGGGTCAATAGTCTGATGACCATTAACACCCAAGGGTTAATAGTCTGAAAACCATTAACACCCAAGGGTCAATAGTCTGATGACCATTAACACCCAAGGGTCAATAGTCTGATGACCATTAACACCCAAGGGTTAATAGTCTGAAAATCATTAACACCCAAGGGTCAATAGTCTGATGACCATTAACACCCAAGGGTTAATAGTCTGAAAACCATTAACACCCAAGGGTCAATAGTCTGATGACCATTAACACCCAAGGGTCAATAGTCTGATGACCATTAACACCCAAGGGTCAATAGTCTGAAAACCATTAACACCCAAGGGTTAATAGTCTGAAAACCATTAAAACCCAAGGGTCAATAGTCTGATGACCATTAACACCCAAGGGTCAATAGTCTGAAAACCATTAACACCCAAGGGTCAATAGTCTGAAAACCATTAAAACCCAAGGGTCAATAGTCTGATGACCATTAACACCCAAGGGTTAATAGTCTGAAAACCATTAACACCCAAGGGTCAATAGTCTGATGACCATTAACACCCAAGGGTCAATAGTCTGAAAACCATTAAAACCCAAGGGTCAATAGTCTGATGACCATTAACACCCAAGGGTCAATAGTCTGAAAACCATTAACACCCAAGGGTCAATAGTCTGAAAACCATTAAAACCCAAGGGTCAATAGTCTGATGACCATTAACACCCAAGGGTCAATAGTCTGAAAACCATTAAAACCCAAGGGTCAATAGTCTGATGACCATTAACACCCAAGGGTCAATAGTCTGATAACCATTAACACCCAAGGGTTAATATTCTGATGACCATTAACATCCCATATATGTACATGTTATTGACCAATGAAATCCTCTGTGTATACATATATATATATATATTTGTATCATGGACAACATGTTTTCTTGCAGTGATGGGTGTGGCCGTACAGGAACCTACTGTCTAGTGGATATGGTACTCAACAGGATGGCTAAAGGTGAGTAAGAAACGAATCATTCCTGTTACACAGGTAACAACTTCATTGTTAGATATGGTTATTAATGTATTACCATATAAGGACAGATATGGAGATATTTTCACATTAAGAGCACTGTACATGACAAATATAGCATTCCAAATCTACAAATAATGCCGTCCTCATATCTGATTTATTTAGTAATGGTACAGCCATTCAGCATTAATACAGTGCAAGTTACCCCGCAACAATTTACAATTTAACATGTTGTTGATGGAATATAGCTGAGTTCATTGTTATGTTGTGTACAGGGGCAAAGGAAATAGACATTGCAGCCACGTTAGAACACATCCGAGACCAGAGGATGTGCACAGTGAAAACAAAGGTAAGTTATTCTCTAAATGGCTGATTATGTGATTGGAAGATTTGATGCTTATTTGTTAAGTATCTGTACACAGTAGTGTTGGTTAAGTATCTGTACACCAGTAGTGATGGTTAAGTATCTGTACACAGTAGTGTTGGTTAAGTATCTGTACACCAGTAGTGTTGGTTAAGTATCTGTACACCAGTAGTGATGGTTAAGCTTCTGTACACAGTAGTGTTGGTTAAGTATCTGTACACCAGTAGTGATGGTTAAGTTTCTGTACACAGTAGTGTTGGTTAAGTATCTGTACACCAGTAGTGTTGGTTAAGTATCTGTACACAGTAGTGTTGGTTAAGTATCTGTACACCAGTAGTGTTGGTTAAGTATCTGTACACCAGTAGTGTTGGTTAAGTATCTGTACACCAGTAGTGTTGGTTAAGTATCTGTACACCAGTAGTGTTGGTTAAGTTTCTGTACACAGTAGTGTTGGTTAAGTATCTGTACACCAGTAGTGTTGGTTAAGTATCTGTACACCAGTAGTGTTGGTTAAGTATCTGTACACCAGTAGTGTTGGTTAAGTATCTGTACACCAGTAGTGATGGTTAAGTATCTGTACACCAGTAGTGTTGGTTAAGTATCTGTACACCAGTAGTGTTGGTTTTGTTAAGTATCTGTACACAGTAGTGTTGGTTAAGTATCTGTACACCAGTAGTGTTGGTTAAGTATCTGTACACCAGTAGTGTTGGTTAAGTATCTGTACACCAGTAGTGTGGGTTAAGTATCTGTACACAGTATTGTTGGTTAAGTATCTGTACACCAGTAGTGTTGGTCAAGTATCTGTACACAGTAGTGTTGGTTAAGTATCTGTACACCAGTAGTGTTGGTTAAGTATTGGTACCCCAGTAGTGTTGGTTTTGTTAAGTATCTGTACACAGTAGTGTTGGTTAAGTATCTTTACACCAATTGTGTTGGTTAAGTATCTGTACACACTAGTGTTGGTTAAGTATCTGTAAACCAGTAGTGTTGGTTAAGTATCTGTACACCAGTAGTGTTGGTTAAGTATCGGTTAAGTATCTGTACACCAGTAGTGTTGGTTAAGTATCTGTACACCAGTAGTGTTGGTTAAGTATCTGTACACCAGTAGTGTTGGTTAAGTATCTGTACTCCAGTAGTGTTGGTTAAGTATCTGTACACCAGTAGTGTTGGTTAAGTATCTGTACACCAGTAGTGTTGGTTAAGTATCTGTACACCAGTAGTGATGGTTAAGTATCTGTACACCAGTAGTGTTGGTGTACACCAGTAGTGTTGGTTAAGTATCTGTACACCAGTAGTGTTGGTTAAGTATCTGTACACCAGTAGTGTTGGTTAAGTTAAGTAGTGTTGGTTAAGTATCTGTACACCAGTAGTGTTGGTTAAGTATCTGTTAAGTATCTGTACACCAGTAGTGTTGGTTAAGTATCTGTACACACAGTAGTGTTGGTTAAGTATCTGTAAGTATCTGTAAGTATCTGTACAGTAGTGTTGGTTAAGTATCTGTACACCAGTAGTGTTGGTCAAGTATCTGTACACAGTAGTGTTGGTTAAGTATCTGTACACCAGTAGTGTTGGTTAAGTATCGGTTAAGTATCTGTACACCAGTAGTGTTGGTTAAGTATCTGTACTCCAGTAGTGTTGGTTAAGTATCTGTACACCAGTAGTGTTGGTTAAGTATTGGTACACCAGTAGTGTTGGTTAAGTATCGGTTAAGTATCTGTACACCAGTAGTGTTGGTTAAGTATCGGTTACGAATCGGTACACCAGTCTTGTTGTTTATGAATATCTGTACACAGTAGTGTTGGTTAAGTATCTGTACACCAGTAGTGTTGGTTAAGTATCTGTACACCAGTAGTGTTGGTTAAGTATCTGTACACCAGTAGTGTTGGTTAAGTATCGGTTAAGTATCTGTAAACCAGTAGTGTTGGTTAAGTATCTGTACACCAGTAGTGTAGGTTAAGTATCTGTACACCAGTAGTGTTGGTTAAGTATCTGTACACCAGTAGTGTTGGTTAAGTATCTGTACACCAGTAGTGTTGGTTAAGTATCGGTTAAGTATCTGTACACCAGTAGTGTTGGTTAAGTATGTGTACACCAGTAGTGTTGGTTAAGTATCTGTACACCAGTAGTGTTGGTTAAGTATCTGTATGTACACCAGTAGTGTAGGTTAAGTATCTGTACACCAGTAGTGTTGGTTAAGTATCGGTTAAGTATCTGTAAACCAGTAGTGTTGGTTAAGTATCTGTACACCAGTAGTGTTGGTTAAGTCTCTGTACACCAGTAGTGTTGGTTAAGTATCTGTACACCAGTAGTGTTGGTTAAGTATCTGTACACCAGTAGTGTTGGTTAAGTATCTGTACACCAGTAGTGTTGGTTAAGTATCTGTACACCAGTAGTGTTGGTTAAGTTAAGTAGTGTTGGTTAAGTATCTGTACACCAGTAGTGTTGGTTAAGTATCTGTACACCAGTAGTGTTGGTTAAGTATCTGTACACCAGTAGTGTTGGTTAAGTATCTGTACACCAGTAGTGTTGGTTAAGTATCTGTACACCAGTAGTGTGGGTTAAGTATCTGTAAACAAGTAGTGTTGGTTAAGTATCTTTACACCAATTGTGTTGGTTAAGTATCTGTACACACTAGTGTTGGTTAAGTATCTGTAAACCAGTAGTGTTGGTTAAGTATCTGTACACCAGTAGTGTAGGTTAAGTATCTGTACACCAGTAGTGTTGGTTAAGTATGTGTACACCAGTAGTGTTGGTTAAGTATCTGTACACCAGTAGTGTTGGTTAAGTATCTGTACACCAGTAGTGTTGGTTAACCAGTAGTGTTGGTTAAGTATGTGTACACCAGTAGTGTGGGTTAAGTATCTGTACACCAGTAGTGTTGGTTATGTATATGTACACCAGTAGTGTTGGTTAAGTATCTGTATAGTGTTGGTTAAGTATCTGTACACCAGTAGTGATGGTTAAGTATCTGTAAACCAGTAGTGTTGGTTAAGTATCTGTACACCAGTAGTGTAGGTTAAGTATCCGTACACCAGTAGAGTTGGTTTTGTTAAGTATCTGTACACAGTAGTGTTGGTTAAGTATCTGTACACCAGTAGTGTTGGTTAAGTATCTGTACACACTAGTGTTGGTTAAGTATCTGTAAACCAGTAGTGTTGGTTAAGTATCTGTACACCAGTAGTGTTGGTTAAGTATCGGTTAAGTATCTGTACACCAGTAGTGTTGGTTAAGTATCGGTTAAGTATCTGTAAACCAGTAGTGTTGGTTAAGTATCTGTACTCCAGTAGTGTTGGTTAAGTATCTGTACTCCAGTAGTGTTGGTTAAGTATCTGTACACCAGTAGTGTTGGTTAAGTATCTGTACACCAGTAGTGTTGGTTAAGTATCTGTACACCAGTAGTGTTGGTTAAGTATCGGTTAAGTATCTGTAAACCAGTAGTGTTGGTTAAGTATCTGTACACCAGTAGTGTTGGTTAAGTATCTGTACACCAGTAGTGTTGGTTAAGTATCTGTACACCAGTAGTGTTGGTTTTGTTAAGTATCTGTACACAGTAGTGTTGGTTAAGTATCTGTACACCAGTAGTGTTGGTTAAGTATCTGTACACCAGTAGTGTTGGTTAAGTATCTGTACACCAGTAGTGTTGGTTAAGTATGTGTAGTGTTGGTTAAGTATCACCAGTAGTGTTGGTTAAGTATCTGTACACCAGTAGTGTTGGTTAAGTATCTGTACACCAGTAGTGTGGGTTAAGTATCTGTACACCAGTAGTGTTGGTTAAGTATCTGTACACCAGTAGTGTTGGTTAAGTATCTGTACACCAGTAGTGTTGGTTAAGTATCTGTACACCAGTAGTGTTGGTTAAGTATCTGTACACCAGTAGTGTTGGTTAAGTATCTGTACACCAGTAGTGTTGGTTAAGTATCTGTACACCAGTAGTGTTGGTTAAGTATCTGTACACCAGTAGTGTTGGTTAAGTATCTGTACACCAGTAGTGTTGGTTAAGTATCTGTACACCAGTAGTGATGGTTAAGTATCTGTACACCAGTAGTGATGGTTAAGTATCTGTACACCAGTAGTGTTGGTTAAGTATCTGTACACCAGTAGTGATGGTTAAGTATCTGTACACCAGTAGTGTTAGTTTTGTTAAGTGTCTGTATCTTCCATTTAAGAGTTTCTGAATTTTTAATTACCTGCTATGACATCATCATAATGAATAATGTTTAAGGTATGAAAAATATCTTGTTAGAAAATTCCCCTCACAATTGGAAAGCAGGCAATTATCATACTCAAATAGAAAGCAATTAGTAAGGTCATGTGTTTTTAGATTACAGATATTTTCTCAATAAAAAAACGCTGAAATTTGTTATTATGGTGTTTTCAGTTGGATACACTGCAGCAGATTGATCGTTCAAAATTGGAAGAATCATCTTATTAAATTTCAACTTTAAATTGTCTAGACATTGCGTGAAAAGAATTTTTGTAAAAATTTAAATTGGATTCCAATCCTTGATTAAATGGCAAATCAAATTATGGCTGATGAAATTTTGTTTCTACAGGAGCAGTTCCAGTTTGCTCTAGCTGCGGTTGCAGAGGAAGTCCATGCCATCTTAAAAGCATTGCCACAGTGAAGGCTTTCCTGGCTGCTGATTGGATGAAATGAAATATTTAACTTCCTATCAACACAAATAAGAGAAGAACAGAAATGAATTTTATGGAAAATTCTAAATATATCTGATGTTTTAAGGAGGGGACATGACTAGCAGTTTTGACATGACCTATGGTCAGTCATGTTTCTTTAGAAGTGGGTTACTGTCATAGGTCTAATGTCGTGTTGTATTATCATATTTAACTTCAAACAATGCATGACAAAGCATAAAAACTATCTGGTTGTACATGATATATATATATATAAAAATTGTTGTTGGTGATATATATTTCTTTCGTCCATAGCATTTTTATGTGAGTCTCTACACAGTTTTCATTGTTTTAGATTCTATATCAGGCTTCTCGATATAAAATCTCTTCGATAAATTTATTTTTTTGTGAGATTTTAAAACAAAAATTATTTTATCTTTATTATGATGTATCTTTGGTAAGAAAATATAACACTTATTTCAAAATTATGAACAAATTACAAGCAACAAGTTCTAATAAATTGCAAAATATGAGTTTTTCAATTTTTTTATCACGTTTAAGATATTTCAGATTGAAAGAGTTTACGTACAAATTAATGTAATTCAAAAAAGCTCAATAAAGGTTTTGAAAAAAATCTTTCTTTTTTTTAATGATGTAAGAGGTTTTTATTGGTTTATTGGATATACACATTTTTTAAACCAACCAATTTTTTTGGGGGGTGAGGGGGGGTGGAATTGTGCAGAAATTGACTTTTAACGTCAGGTACAAACTGTTTGATATTATTTTTATTACAATATGTAACAGAGAGGAATTAATCAGACAAAAATGTTACTCATTTTACAATAAAAGACAGTTTGTTGATGGTTAAAAAACAATTTAATGTTTTTAGTTTTTTTCAATGCAATGTTCATACAAGTGATTGATATATAATTAATCATTAGTGTAAATTGTTGATAAAATCAAAATTCAGAAAATTAAGGAATTAGATACGAAGAAATCAATTATCAATTTCACTGTTAATGGTATAAACTTCATAATTCATATTTACGAAGATGAGTCATATTCTGTGACCAAAATAACAATTCTGTTTTATTGTTTTTCTTTTTTGAATTAAAGAACAAACATTTTAACAACATGTTGCTGCCAATAACATGTTGTATTCTTCAGAAGAAATTTGGAAATAAGCCAAATCAATATTTGATAAAGAACAAAAGTCAAACTTTGGACATTTTCTGGAGTTTCCCCACCGATAACAAAGCAAAACACAATTGTTTTTCACAAGTTTCTTAGGTCTATGATCATTATTTGTCATCATGGTAACAAAAACAGGGAGTTGGGGGCCTTCGTACAATTTAGAGTTTGTTGATAAAACATGTAGTTTTTGATCTGTGATTTTTACTGAATGGTTACCATGACAACAGATATGATCACAGATGCATGTGATCTGCAATATGTGCCAAACACTGATTTGATTGTGATTGAGTCAGGGTTTGATTCTTCCTTAAATTGATTCTGTTTTTATTCTAAATATTCTGATGTGACAAATTTTACGTATACGTGTTTCTTTAAGTTTGAATTATCATCAGATTAAAGATTTATTCCAGTCAAGAATTAGTATGAGATGAAAATTTGATAATTGGAGTGGTCTGTTTAAATATTTGACCTGGAAATACACACCTCTTCTCATTTCCCCACCATAATTGTGCAATACTCATAAGGAACACGTCAAAATTCTTCACTAGATGCCATACAATTTAATTATTCCTATTGAGTGATGTAAAAAGTGTATGTATTCTTGTTAAGAATTTCACACCCCAAATCAAACAAGTGTGCAGATTTTATCACTAGCCATATGATAAGTGATACCAAGAATATGTGCAATTGGACCTGTCATGTCAGCCATTTGTTTCAGTTCTAAATGTAGTTCATGGTAATTGAATCTCTATATAATGGTTACCTGCCCAGAAAGGCCACCCTTTTCTATATTGGAGTGGTCTTCATAGACAGGTTTGATGAATTTTCATTCTCACACTATAGATTATACACTAGATTTTGATCTTTGTGTATCACTGACAATGTTAAACACATTTCAAGGAATTTTTATTATTTGAAAATAGCGAATCTCTGTTTTTGTTCACACAATGTGATTCAAGATACAAACTCGGATGAGTTTCTCGTTACTTTATATGGCGGCTTTATATTTGTTATCTTAAGGTATAATTATATCTATATTGTAAATAATACAGAGGAATTATCATAAAAGTTTTCAAAAGTCTACTGTGACATGGTACTTTGTTATAAGTTTGTTATGTTTGAATATTTCTATTCACTTAACTGTTTACATTCTCAATGTTTCTATACTTCCTCAGATTGTCCAGTTAACATAAATATATTGCAGGTAGGAATCTTCTAACAAAAATATTTGAAGTTGCTGGTGTAATAAATTAAAAATGATCAGTCAGGTTGTCCAAGAAATATTTTATAAAACACTGTTAAGATATGTACACTGTGTATTATTTACCAACAAATCTATATGTGTCCTCTCCCCATAAATATCTTTCTTGAGAACTGTAAATCTTGTAATTTTTTTTTTAACTCATTAATTATATGCATTGCAGGAAATTTACTTTTTTAAATTGAATCAGAAAAAATGAAAAATCACATCTAGATTTAAAGGCCTAGCCTTCAGAAGTATTGACAAATCGAACGTCTTTATGGTCAAAATGATAGATCAAAATGGGTTTCATTTTCCAAAGCATACTTTGATACATTCCTGTTGTTTTACTATGATCTGATAAATTTAATTAATCGAAGAATTCAGTTTATAAAAGAGAACTCAGAAAGTTTATGTGTATAAAACTTAATGTTGTTTACATCTGTTGTAAACCCTATATCCACTTAATGATACACTTACCATTGATGTCAACTTATCTTACTGAAAAAAGAAACAGATTATAACATCTACATACAATAAAAAAGTATATAAAACATCAGTACTATTTATACATAGAATTGGAAAATTAATTTTGTATTAGTAAGCTACTGGTTCAAAATTTGGATTAAAGGTCTGAAAAATGTGGTTCATTATTTTTCATCTCTGTTTTAACTTTTTTATATTTTTCTCAATTTCTGGCCAGTTTTTATCAGACGTCTTACATTCTTTGCTATACAATGTGTAACATGTTGTAAAGTTTTCAACATTTGTTATTATAAAGTATATTGTGTATCAAAATTTATCTTAAAATTAAAACAGAGATATATATATATTTTTCTTCAAAAAGTGTGTTTGGGTCCAAATGAGTTCTCTGTATTTTCTGTGTCCTGTTTGTGATCAATGTGTGGTCCCCCTTCTGTCATTAAAATGTTACTGCAATCCTGATACCATATTTCTGTGTTTTATTTTATCATTTAAAATCAGGTTTGCTAGTGAAATATTTCCAACACATGAAGTCCTTTAAGGTCTATGTATCTGATATCTCTTCCTACTTCTGCCGCGTCTCTGACCTCTAGTCATCCAACATCTGGTGATAACCCTTCTTGATTAAGGGCAAAGAGATGTGTTAAGGACTGCACAGGAAAGAGACCTTGTTTGATATAATTCATTCTAAAGCATTGGTATCACATCTGTTTGTATGACATAATTTTGACTTCAGCAAATTCAAAAACTGTTTTTTTAATCTTTTATATATTGATAAAAATTAGATATCAGATGATTTTGGTACTTTTCATGTTTTAATCGGGTCATGATAATGGTAAATATTAGGTTGACCTGATAAAATCAGGGGCGTTGACAACACTGGAGACATGTCCCTTTGAATTTGTCTAGGTACATAGTTGATAATCTACTCATCTTTTTTTTCTGATGAAAGGGGAAAAAAAGGATTAATCAATAAAATGTAATTAATGCAAGTGGACAGATCCATAATAACAATGGTGTACTGGAAACATGTATATAGGAGAATTCAAATCCAACATTTTTCTGGTGGGGGGGGGGGGAGGAAAAGACGATCAGGGAGGAGCTCCTTTAAGACAAATCTAGAATTGGAGTAGAGCTAAACAAAATGTCAAATTGCATCAACAGTTTTGTCCTTCCAGGACTCATAAGTGATCCTTAGAATTGGTAATTTGAATCCTTGGAGGCAACTAAGGAGTGTCAATCTTAAATTTGAAGACGTAATTGTGAAATATATCAATTTCATTAAGGGTAAATACTTGAAATTATAGGCAGTTGTGATTAAATCTGCATTTGATTTTGACCTGGCTAATTGCTTAGATATCACTAAGTTTAGACAACATAGCAACTTGATTTATATAAACAATTGGCCATGTTTGAAATGAGACATCACATGTTATGTTTGTATTGGAAGTATTTTTCAAATTCTTAAAAAAAACATTTCAGTCAAAGACTTTAAAACATGACTTAATGTGAAATGTTTAATTGAACATGCTGGTTTTGTTCATGGAGGATGGGAGAGAGATATAGATTGATTGTAGTTTAACACTATTCCACTAATAAACAAAAAAAACATGAAATATTGTAAAAATGTAATATTTCAATTACGGAACAAAATTCGATGAAATGTAGTCATGACATTCATATGTCCTTTGGATGCGTTTGTGATATCACAACAACAACAACAGCTTACGAAGATTGAGGATTAAGTAAACCAAGCACACTACACAAAAAAACATATCATATTTCCTTGTTAGCCAGAGCAAAAAGTGAAATCAACTATTATCAACAAAAGTTCTGTATAGTTTGAGACTGGACACGGACTGTTACGAGTGGACTGGTTCTGTATAGTTTGAGACTGGACACGGACCGTTACGAGTGGACTAGTTCTGTATAGTTTGAGACTGGACATGGACTGGTTCTGTATAGTTTGAGACTGGACACGGACTGTTACGAGTGGACTGGTTCTGTATAGTTTGAGACTGGACATGGACTGGTTCTGTATAGTTTGAGACTGAACACAGACTGGTTCTGTATAGTTTGAGACTGAACACGGACTGGTTCTGTATAGTTTGAGACTGGACACGGACTGTTACGAGTGGACTGGTTCTGTATAGTTCGAGACTGGTCACGGACTGGTTCTGTATAGTTTGAGACTGGACACAGACTGTTACGAGTGGACTGGTTCTGTATAGTTTGAGACTGGACACGGACTGTTACGAGTGGACTGGTTCTGTATAGTTTGAGACTGGACATGGACTGGTTCTGTATAGTTTGAGACTGGACATGGACTGTTACAAGTGGACTGGTTCTGTATAGTTTGAGACTGGACATGGACTGGTTCTGTATAGTTTGAGACTGGACATGGACTGGTTCTGTATAGTTTGAGACTGGACACAGACTGTTACGAGTGGACTGGTTCTGTATAGTTTGAGACTGGACACGGACTGTTACAAGTGGACTGGTTCTGTATAGTTTGAGACTGAACACAGACTGGTTCTGTATAGTTTGAGACTGAACACGGACTGGTTCTGTATAGTTTGAGACTGGACACGGACTATTACGAGGGGACTGGTTCTGTATAGTTTGAGACTGGACACGGACTGGTTCTGTATAGTATGAGACTGGACATGGTCTGTTACGAGTGGACAGGTTCTGTATATTTTGAGACTGGACACGGACTGTTACGAGTGGACTGGTTCTGTATAGTTTGAGACTGGACAACAACTGTTACGAGTGGACTGGTTCTATATAGTTTTAGACTGGACACGGACTGTTACGAGTGGACTGGTTCTGTATAGTTTGAGACTGGACATGGACTGGTTCTGTATAGTTTGAGACTGGACATGGACTGTTACAAGTGGACTGGTTCTGTATAGTTTGAGACTGGACATGGACTGGTTCTGTATAGTTTGAGACTGGACACAGACTGTTACGAGTGGTTTCTGTATAGTTTGAGACTGGACACGGTTACTGTTATAGTTTGAAACTGGACACGGACGAGTGAGACTGGTTCTGTATAGTTTGAGACTGGACATGGACTGGTTCTGTATAGTTTGAGACTGGACACGGACTGTTAGGAGTGGACTGGTTCTGTATAGTTTGAGACTGGACACAGACTGTTACGAGTGGACTGGTTCTGTATAGTTTGAGACTGGACACGGACTGTTACGAGTGGACTGGTTCTGTATAGTTTGAGACTGGACACGGACTGTTACGAGTGGACTGGTTCTGTATAGTTTGAGACTGGACACGGACTGTTACGAGTGGACTGGTTCTGTATAGTTTTAGACTGGACACGGACCGTTACTAGTGGACTAGTTCTGTATAGTTTGAGACTGGACACGGACTGGTTCTGTATAGTTTGAGACTGGACACGGACTGTTACGAGTGGACTGGTTTTATTTATAGTTTGAGTCTGAACACGGACTGGTTCTGTATAGTTTGAGAATAGACATGGACTGTTACGAGTGGACTGGTTCTGTATAGTTTGAGACTGGACACGGACTGTTACGAGTGGACTGGTTGGACACGGACTGGTTCTGTATAGTTTGAGACTGGACATGGACTGGTTCTGTATAGTTTGAGACTGGACACGGACCGTTACTAGTGGACTAGTTCTGTATAGTTTGAGACTGGACACGGACTGGTTCTGTATAGTTTGAGACTGGACACGGACTGTTACGAGTGGACTGGTTCTGTATAGTTCGAGACTGGACATGGACTGGTTCTGTATAGTTTGAGACTGGACATGGACTGGTTCTGTATAGTTTGAGTCTGAACACGGACTGTTACGAGTGGACTGGTTCTGTATAGTTTGAGACTGGACATGGACTGGTTCTGTATAGTTTGAGACTGGACACGGACTGGTTTTGTATAGTTTGAGACTGGACACGGACTTTGACGAGTGGACTGGTTCTGTATAGTTTGAGACTGGACACGGACTGTTACGAGTGGACTGGTTCTGTATAGTGTGAGACTGAACACAGACTGGTTCTGTATAGTTTGAGACTGGACACGGACTGTTACATGTGGACTGGATTTTATAGTTTGAGACTGGTCACGGACTGGTTCTGTATAGTTTGAGTCTGAACACGGACTGTTACGAGTGGACTGGTTCTGTATAGTTTGAGACTGGACATGGACTGGTTCTGTATAGTTTGAGACTGGACATGGACTGGTTCTGTATAGTTTGAGACTGGACACGGACTGTTACGAGTGGACTGGTTCTGTATAGTTTGAGACTGGACACGGACTGTTACGAGTGGACTGGTTCTGTATAGTGTGAGACTGAACACAGACTGGTTCTGTATAGTTTGAGACTGGACACGGACTGTTACATGTGGACTGGATTTTATAGTTTGAGACTGGTCACGGACTGGTTCTGTATAGTTTGAGACTGGACACGGACCGTTACGAGTGGACTGGTTCTGTATAGTGTGAGACTGAACACAGACTGGTTCTGTATAGTTTGAGACTGGACACGGACTGTTACATGTGGACTGGATTTTATAGTTTGAGACTGGTCACGGACTGATTCTGTACAGTTCGAGACTGGACATGGACTGTTACGAGTGGACTGGTTCTTTATGGTTTGAGACTCGAAACGGACTGTTTTTAATTTTTGTGATAAAAAAAAGTTTACGAAGATAAGTACATATATGTATTTAATGTTGGTGAGTCTCACTTGTGAATCTTTGGTTTGAAATGGTGGCCTAGAACGTTTTCTTTACATAGCAAAAATGTTTTTTTCGTAAAAGTTTGCTCTACAAACAGTGAATGTTAACTCTTCATACCCTGTTTGAAGATCTTTCTTACGAATGTTAAAAAAACGATATGTAAAGTATAGATAAAACACGTGGAATATATTTACAGACAAGTATCTATAGATTGACTGCCATCCCTCCTTCAAACCGTCAAAAACGTTCTTGGTAGAGTCTGTTTTGTTGTGACGTAATCAAGAAATATGTTTTTGAGAATTCCAGAAACCAGCCATCCGTGCTAATAATCATACATTATATCTGGTGCAACTTCTCGAAGTTTGGTATTGGCCAACTTCGAAATACTTGTTTTTGTATATCTCTCTGTCGTATTCAGTAGAAAGTCCACGTCGAGATTTCTAGAAATTGAGTTTATGCCGAAGTACTTCCGGTTAAAGATTTAAGACATTCTTAACTGTTTTTTGCGAGCAAATTTATTCCAATATCCATGGGTGCTGTCATTTACCTCTCCTCGTGGATTCCATCTAAATATATCATTTGCTACTTAGGATTGGTCCTCTTGGAGGTTCTTCATTGAAAAAATCAGTATTGAATCAAACTGAGCAGTTGATTTGAAAACATTGTATCTGATCCATCTTTTTCTGAGACAAGTCTACATCTCCCGGTATCTGCGGTTAACACACATGTATATGTGACTATTGGGCTTCAGGATTATCACAAGTTCTTCCTTTCCCCCAGATACACCTTAAGCCAGATATTCACACCTTTTCCCGTATCCTCGATACCCAAGAGGTTACGATCACTTTCATTCTTTGCACCCTTCGAACAAGTCATGGAAATATTGAAGGCAATGGACGGTATATTGTCCTTGCTTTGAATTTTGATGTTGCTTTTTTGTAACAGAAGGAGCGTATCAGCCTGTGGTTGGTCGGGGTTTTTTCCTGGAACCAATCAAATTACTTCGACTACTGTTCCTTCAAATTTGCCATGACATGTTCCAGGAAAGCAGAGAGCGAAAGTGATTCTATTCAATAATGGGTTTTTGTAAATAGCGGAGTTCCGAGACTTATGATATCTCAAGCCTTCCAAGCGTCTCAAATTTTATGGTCATTTTCCTTTATCATTAGTACACATGTTGTCCATTGTTCGTCATTTTTGCCAGTTCGAGTCAACGAATCGTCCTCCAGCCATCTCCGGTATATTAAACAGACAACTCCTGCTATCAAGCTTGGAGACCTACATACAATGCAATCTGATTATTATACACATCACTGCCTAGGTTGGTTGTACGTGGAATGTCTTCTGATTAACCTACAGCGCTACAAATATTTTTTTCCGGAAAAGGATATAGGCAAGGACTACCCAGATGGCTGTGTCCCAAACTGCTTTGAGAAGCAGCTCCCAGTGTTGTGGGGAGTCCATCTGCCAGTTCACGGGAAAGAAGCGATAGAACACATCATGGCAGACGTATACCACAATGGAGTTCATACCTAGGGAAATAACAAAACGAGTTCCGACAATAATATATTATAACAGTCACAGACGTATGGAATTCTTACTCCAAGCCAACTTAAAGACTGACTTTTCCAATGGAATTCTTACTCCAGACCAACTTAAAGACTGACTTTTCCAATGGAATTCTTACTCCTGGCCTATCTAAAGACAGTGACTTTTCAAATGGAATTCTTACTCCAGGCCTTTATAAAGACGGTGACTTTTCCAATGGAATTCTTACTTCTGGCCTATCTGAAGACGGTGACTTTCCAAATGGAATTCTTACTCCAGGCCTACTAAAGACGGTGACTTTTTCAATGGAATTCTTACTCCAGGCCTATCTAAAGACAGTGACTTTTCCAATGAAATTCTTACTCCAGGCCTATCTAAAGACAATGACTTTTCAATGGAATTCTTACTCCTGGCCTATCTAAAGACAGTGACTTTTCTAATGGAATTCTTACTTCAGACCATCCTAAAGAAAGTGACTTTTCCAATGAAATTCTGACTCCAGACCAATCTAATGAAAGTGACTTTTCCAATGGAATTCTTACTCCAGGCCAACTTAAAGACTGACTTTTCCAATGGAATTCTTACTTCAGACCTATCTAAAGACGGTGACTTTTCAAATGGAATTCTTACTCCTGGCCTATCTAAAGATAGTGACTTTTCCAATGGATTTCTTACTCCAAATCAAACTAAAGAGAGTGACCTTTCCATTTCTCGAATCTGTTAACATATCTCATTAGTTTCGAATTCATCAACATATTTTACTGAAGGAGGGTAACCCCCAAAAAACAAAATTGATAACGGCCTTGACAAAATATAACATATAATATGTACCGAACTATCACAAATACATCATTTGCGCTCAAATATAATATCAATGTGTTAATATATCTGTATGTTTTGTTAATATAAATGTATGTTTTGTTATCCATTAGTAGACAATATTATACTTACCAGGATATACAAACGGATCTCCATCCCACCAATGGAGTATGTCGATGACTACGTAGAAAAAGGAGAGGACGATGAAAGCGAAGCTAGCAGTGATGAGGATGAATGACACGGACCTGTATAATTGAATTTTGATTTGCTACAAATTGTTTTTACTTTCCTTTTCAACATTTTAATCAAAACTGTCTATTCGACGATAAATGCCACATTTACGGATTGCAAAAAAAAAAAGTTTTTACAGTTGACGCATTTAGTTTCAGTATTAGTTAAAGAGGCAAGGAAAATACACATTGAAAACACGATATTCGGACAATTTTGTTTTTCTTTTTAACGTTCGTGAATACGTCGTCAAGGACATATGGAGTAATTAGAAATAACACATTTTTCTAATTGTTTATTATGTGTCTTCGCTTTTCAAACTCAATAGTTTAAATCCGTAATGTAAATTGTATTTGTTTCAATTACTAATTTACAGGTGAATTATATCAGCTTTCTAGTATTGAATGTAACGTCTTACTACTGGCCTTATAAAGGAAACTTATCCACTTAAACGTGATAAATTTCATTTTAAAAATACATTTGCTAGTTTATTACCCATTAATAGAAAAATGCCGTAATACCTACCAAAGGTTTTTGTTGAGGGGCACCCAACCATCGTTCTGAGAAGCCTTACAAAGGAGTGTACCTATACCACCCTATAAAATAAAAGTTCACATTTCTGAATTAAAAATGTATTCCAGATTTTCAGTGACTCTCAAAAACATGCATTTTGACACCTTAATTTGACATAGCATTTCCAAAATTGTGAAAGGGGTATTCTGTACAGAATAAGATTTTATTAGGTGATTTTGAAGAAAATTGTATAAGATGACCTACTTATGTTATCGTGTAAATTATACACCTCATTTTACCATTTAGATAAACATGATATTCAATTTGCGGAAATTCTTCATATATCTGGTTAGATCGATTTACAAACGTTCGCGCGGCCCTAATTGCGTTACAACAGGTTTGCGTTGTTATTAGCTGAAGATAATGGAACACTTGTGTAAATTATAAAACCAACAGACACTAAGACTAATAAAGTATTAAAGTTGCATCCCCGTCAGAGATTTTACTGACCAGCATACCGCCTTGTGTATTTACCCATTACTCTATAATCATCCAGTATACTGTCAGTTCTAGATTTCCTGATACCCTACATTTAGACGGTTAAATTTGTATTAGTATTGCAACCAGTTCGCCAGTCCAAACTAACCACAGGAGATATATTTCTATGCTGACAATAGGTTTAAAGTCTTTAAAATTAATTCCTAAAAGGCACAGAACAGCCAGAAATTTTCAAACACGGACGGAATGTCCCTTTAAAGTTTTACATTTTATCATTTGCATTTTCAATCCGTGGACTGTAAAATGTCAGAAATCTAAGAGATGTTGTGAAATCCATGACTTTTAATTACATTGTATCTAATCTACATTGCTCTTTGAGCAATTTATATACATTTGTTTGCATTAGCAAAATTTGATTTATATTTTACAATAAATTACATGCTTTGTTACAAAATTTGAGGTTATCATCCCATGATATGTAACGAAGATATAAAGTCATTTTAGACTCATTATCGATACTCTCTACAACTCTGGAGTATGTCGAGACAAATTTGAAAACACACGTGAAGTGATTCGATTGGTTCCAGGAGGAAAAAAAGACTGACCCATCACATGCTAATACGCTCCTTTTGAGGATAACAAAGGAGCGACATTCATTTAATGTACATCAAAGGACCAAACTAGTCTTTTCGTCTTATCCACAAGGTGTCGATCATGGAACCTTCAATTTGCCATGACATGTGCTGGGAGTGCAAAGAGCGAAAGTGATTGTAACCCCTGGTGTATCGAGAACATGTTCCAGGAGTGCAGAGAGCGAAAGTGACTGTAACCTCTGGTGTATCGAGAACATGTTCCAGGGGTACAGAGAACGAAAGTGATTGTAACCCCTGGTGTATCGAGAACATGTTCCAGGGGTACAGAGAACGAAAGTGATTGTAACCCCTGGAGTATTGAGGATGGTTCCAAGGGTACAGAGAGCGAAGGTGATTATAACCCCTGAAGTATCGAGAACATATTCCAGGAGTGCAGAGAGCGAAAGCGACCGTAACCCCTGGAGTATTGAGGATGGTTCCAGGGGTGTAGAGAGCGTAAGTGATTGTAACCCCTTGAGTATTGAGGATGGTTCCAAGGGTACAGAGAGCGAAGGTGATTATAACCCCTGGAGTATCGAGGATGGGTCCAACTTTACCTCTTTTGCCCGAGTTACAAATTTATGAGTGCTTTTCTGTAATGTTTCAAAAGCTATGGAGATACAGCCGTTTTTATACAGGATAACAAATAGGTACAGGTTGGTAACAGAATATACAAAAACATAAACTTCTGCCGTAAGATTCAAGAACACGAATTCCAACAAAAAAACTTACCGTGACTATGGCCCAAACCATCCAACGACAAATCCTAGAACTATGCTTAGGGTAGGTAATGATGATACGGCCACACTGTTAAATATGGAAATAAAATTGTTGGTACAATAGATGATGAATTTAATATCAATATTAATAACTCCGTGAGGTATCCTTCAAAATGAAACTCGAATGAGGAAAAATGTTCCCAGTCAATGGAATTTCAAGCACCTGTCGATTGTCGAGGTCCTAATGAAATGTCGTCTCTATGTTAAGTCCACTGAGAGCTGTAAAGTCACTGCCCATAGTTTTTAATGAAATGTCGCTGCCATGTTAAGCCCAGTATGAGCTGTAAAGTTACTACCCATAGTTTTTCATGAAATGTGGTCGCTTTGTTAAATCCACGGAGGGCTGTACAGTTACTACCCATATCGTTACATAATTTGTCGCTGTCATGTTAAACCCAGTATGAGCTGTAAAGATACTACCCGTCGTTTTAAATGAAATGTCGCTGCTATGTTAATTTCAATGTGAGCTAAATTAAACTTATGTCTCGTGTCCATGCGTACGAGTAATCATCTCTTGTTTTACAATCTGATATGCTTTGGGATAAACTCTTAATTTAAAGTAAGAAGTCCTGAATTTATTTTTCTTGATTGTGATTTTTACCATTACACTCATAACTGAATTTAACTGGAATTAACTATTTTGAAACACCATGGAAACACTGTGAAGCGGAAAATGATTATCATTTTCAAGTGCAATATCTATCACATGTTAGAATGAAAAAGTTTGTATTTGAATGTTCTCAGTACAAAGGAGGTCACTTAAAACCATGACAAAACATTACCGTGTAAATGATCCAATGTGTGTACTTTTCGAGGCATTAAATTCCATAGCTGTTTAATTTTACTTCCACCTCCAAAATTTACCAAATGGAATGATTTTTCACTCCGGTGTACTTTTCAACAATTCTATGGTGTACAAGTTTTTTGAACACAGAGAACATAATTCAAATATTGGAAATAAGCATATGTGCATACATTTCATATTTTCGTCCAGTTTTATATTGCTACTGGTTTAATCTGAAGTAATTTGGGGAAAGGCCATTTAACAATATCAATATATTATTTGGGGGAACAGAATGGGTTGAAGTCAAGTTGCTCTCCCAAATATTATGGACAATTTTCTAATTCCAGATGAAGCCAAATATCTAGACAAGATGAGCCAAAAACCAAAATAATAATACATCATAAAGCTGTCCCTCTAGGACTCGTCAGTGATGCTACAGCATACAACTGTTTCGTCCTTCTAGGACTCGCCAGTAATACTACATCATACAACTGTTTCGTCCTTCTTGGACTCGCCAGTAATACTACATCATACAACTGTTTCGTCCTTCTAGGACTCGTCAGTGATGCTACAGCATACAACTGTTTCGTCCTTCTAGGACTCGTCAGTGATGCTACAGCATGCAACTGTTTCGTCATTCTAGGACTCGTCAGTGATGCTACAGCATATAGCTGTTTCAACCTTCTTGGACTCGCCAGTAATACTACATCATACAACTGTTTCAACCTTCTAGGACTCGCCAGTAATACTACATCATATAACTTTTTCGTCCTTCTAGGACTAGTCAGTGATGCTAAGGGCCTAAAATTTGGAGCCAAGAAGGCAAGTAAGGAAATCCAAAGAGATCGAAAGAAAAGTCTAAATCCAGCCGGAGAGGTGCACTAGCCCCGTAATGCAATACATTCCTTAATATTCATTTATCAGATAATTTTATAACATCGTCAAGTACATGTGTATATTCTGGACCTGGCCACTATTCAATTGAATTAAAATGTACTTGTTACAGTAAACCTCGAGGACTAAAAGGTTTTTCTACCGCCTGCTATCTCAAAGATTGTACAAAAAACTTATTTAGAGTTAAGCATAGTAGAACCAAACAACCACATCATACAGCTGTTTCGTCCTTCTAGGATTCGTCAGTCATGCTTATACACTAATACACTAAAAACTTTTAAGCCTAGGAGGGGACCGATTATTGGAATGAATGAATTAACACGTGATATGAAGGTTGCGGCATTGTATATAGTCTTTGTAAATTTGCGACATGAAAATGATAAAAAAAATTCTTACTTCAAACTTGATTCGCAAGTTTACCACAAAACAATATTTAACATAGGAAATTGAAAACAAAGTAGTTCGTGTATGTTAAAATGTTAAAATAATGAGAAGAAAAAAATTAATTCAATTTTAATGAAACGCTATCATACATTACCTGTACGCCGAGAAAACAAAGAAAAATGGACGTTAATGTTCCCAATATTCCCTCTGGGTCGTGTGCAGTTGTAGTCTGGTAAATTCGCTGTAGAAAACAAGATCATGTAAACAGACAAGAAAAGTTTCATGGTCTTCAAGACTAACTCGTTCAGACATTATCAAAATATATTTATAAAATAACTAAAATGGTGTATTTGTTTGTCCGTTTACGTCCTCATAACATCCAAGGTCATTTGAAGACGGCGTCCCTCCATGGACGACCACCGACGGACGCTTACAAGTAGGAATACATGATAATAATGATAAATAAATAATTCCTATGACAGAATAATTACACAGTCATGATAAATGATATTTTGATAAATGAAATACATTAGTATAAGTACTGTTATGATATTTTATTTCCGTACAAAACCTTTAAAGTGTAATTGATACCTGAGGTGTCGGATGGTTATAGATGTGTTCACTTCCTAGCACCATTCTGTCAATGTAACTAGCTACACCGCCGGTACAGTTGTAATATGCTCCTCCCTCGCTTAGACCCCCGGCACCGATGTAGCCACTGATAAAGCATATTGAACGGTTACATCGAAATAGGTCATACACAAAAACCATCATTTCGTGACGATGATATCTTTATGAATACGTCTACCAACAGTAAAAAGGCACATTTGTATGCGTTAGATAAAGCCATGCATCATGATACATGTATGGACATCTTTGCGAAAAAGATTCATTGTCATGTTTCATGTATGAAATATATGACTACAAAACATGTTTCATGTTACAAAACAAATCAAAGTACTGAAAGTACTGAGAGGCTAAACGTATTGAAGAATGTTCACAGATAACCGCGAAGCTAAATTACTTTCCCCATACTCCTACACTTTGGAATGCAAAAATTACTAAAATAAGAGAACCAGAGGCTATTTTTCTTAATCTTATGCGATTTTATATCTTCTTTAATTCTTATTTCAAATTTGACGACAATAATGTGAACAAATCAAAATAAATAAAAAAAATAACAAAATACACACAACCATATTTATCGCCAACAAGCCAAATGATAAATAGCTCTATGATGAAGTTGACTAAATAAAACCTTTGAAATACCCAAAATGTTGCAATTACTATCCTATCAATATGATGATTTAGACAAATCGAAAGGACTTTATACCTACTTCTTTATTTTGAATGTATTGCAAAGTAATAGTCCTTACTTATTATAATAATATTTGTAGTTGAGGAAAGTAGATAAGGTGTACACAGCATTTCAGATCGATTAAAGTGTAAGTAATTACATTAAATGTATTTACATGCCTATCTCCCTTGAAGTATCATGGTTAGACTTTTCTTCCAGTAATTATGTCTATAAAGACATAGTTCTTTGAGATTAAACCAGACTTCCATATATATACAAAATTTACAATATTTTCACTATAGCTACTACTATTTCTGATCTCCAATGCATTAGATAATGTCACCATGACACGCTAAATGAATAAATATGTTATGGAAATATTTCGTTCTAGTTAATTGATAATTATAAACATGAATATTTTGTATTTTTTAAGCGCGCTTTGTTGAAGGAATATTTTTATTTCAAGGAACTTTGATACACATTAACAAACCTTGAGAAATCAGCACAATCAACCTTCATCAAATAAAACTAAAAGACAAAAGATATAAGTAATAACAGAGTCAACATCATAATCAGTACAGTATTAAAAATATATTATACATAAATCATGAGCACCAAATGTACCTTGCCTACAAAGCGCAAACTTTTTAGCTTCAAAAACTTGAAAAAGTGTCATATCGGCGGGTTTACGCGTAGGACGAACAGTCCAATTCGGTGACGTCTAATGAGGTAAAGTGATGTTGTATATTAAGACGATCTTGCCACAACGACAAGGATTAAAACAAAATTGATGTTCTGTTTGTAAGTTTTGTTTGTTTATATGTGCTGTTTGTTGATAATTCAAACCAAGCCCCCAGACTAGCTTTTTATCAACTCGCACGTGCAGTGTTCTGTACGCTTACGTCATGTCGGGAATTCCGTAAAATATATTGTTCAAAATTTATCAATAGTTCAACCACACTGTGCTTCTTTTTTGAAATATATAGTAATCGTATTGTTATTAAAAAAATAAACTAATTTTGGATGTTTTTAAAATAGCGATTTGAAAGATCGCGGCATTATTTACGCAGAAAACTCTTTTCGATATTTCAGCCAATGAGAAGGCCAGGATCGGTAAATCTTGTCTGAAAGGCCATCACAATAGGCTATGCGTACTGAGTACGTTTAGCCTAAAAAGGGGATGTCATATTTCATAAATAAGATATAACTAGTAAATTTGTCTTCAAGGTGAGTTAGGGAACTAAATCCATGAACGAGATGCACAACCAAAGGATTTTTTCCACGACAGGATATATATAAAAATTTGAAATTACAGTTAAATGAAATTTTAACCGGTTCACCAAAACGGCTTTTTGTGATTTATACATTCTAATATCTCATACGACAGCTGATAATTGATGCGACAGAATCCGTGTCTATAACACAACTTACGTGGGACATCCCGGGACTGGTACAAATTCTGTGATGACGACATATGCGACTAGAATGCCAAGGGCGATAACCCATTCGTGCAAATACAGCACAATATCTCGGATCGGTGCAAAACAGCTTTCCTAAAAAAAGAGAGAGGAAAACGATGCACAATGTCTGAGCTTCAGTCAATAAAACAATATGAAAAGAAATAGCTTACTAACAGAAATAACACATGGTTAAATCTCTGTTATGACTAGGTTATCGAAACACTAATACAGTACACTATTCAGTGTGGAAATATCACACTATTCCTGCGGTAAACTCCAAGTAAACACTTTCATATGAAAACTTTCATTTAAAAAGATGTATAATAGTAATAAGAGGCATTGGATGGCGCTATAGTAACGTACTCACCTGTCACCTAAACAACCGTGGTTCGATTCCACGATCGAGTATCCAAAGGTATGGGGTCAAATGCCCTACAGATGGATTTTTTGTACTCTGGTTTACACCAACAATGAGAGAATATTTGAGGTTTTATCCGTGCTAATTAAAGTAATTAACTTTATGTTTTATGAGGACGCAGTACCTGATGGGAGTCTTCTGTTCTGGTACAAAGGAGCTCCATCAATGCTATCACGAGATAAGTTAGACTAAAGCGTTGGAGGACTCCAGGAATACGTATATTGTTGAGGTTTACAGCTGGTAGGGTTAGGATAAAAAAAAAGATTAATACCATGGATGTGACGTCATAATTATGTTGTTATTTAAAAATGATACTTAAATCGGTTCAGGGTTCAAATTTAATTGTACCGATATGTACAAAGTGACATTAGAGGGCGGTAAAGTAATACCCACAAAATTTACTTTATCTACAAACATAAGAAAAGACTTCTCCGGAAAAAAAAAGAAAAAGAAAAATTTGACACGAAATGCTAAAACCCCACGTCATATTGTATAATGTAACTGTATACTTCCGAGTCATTGAAATGTAGGGAGGCGTGGAGTCAATCAGCTTTATATATGATATACTCACGTCCCCAGTTAGTGTTCAGTATAAGTCCAATGGCGAATAACAGGAACGATCTTTTTAGTAATTTTAAGAATATTCTTAACCGTGATTTTCCTTTTCTCAGCATTCCACGGAAGGAGAAATTCATGGCAGTTCCCATAATAAATATAAACCTATAACACAGAACTCACATTATTTCATGTGATCCTTTAATGTTCAAGTTAGAAACTGGATTAAAATAGGATCCCCGTATTACAGTAATTAACAGTACAATCTGTTCTTGGTTGTACCTGTATTAATACGTAGATAACTGTCTCATTGTATTTATCGTGCGGTTTTCTGTCAGAGTTAGTTTAAAAATAAACAAAACCAGAAACACTATCTTAATCCAAACTCTGATAATTAAATACAACTTGGCCAAAATTTTAACAAAAGAGAGATTTACAAGGAGACTCCTTCAAAAGTACAAGGAGAGTACACACGCTATGTAAACTTTGGTCAATCCAAGTAAAATTTGTTACAACTTCTCCATTAACATCATTATTGTGTACTACAGGATCACATCACAAATTACAGCAAAACTTCTTCAAATTTTATCACTTAATATTCATAACATATATTTCGATTGTTTATTGCCATTTACTATTACATTTAAGATAATTTTATGGACTGATATATTTTTCAGATTATCTGTTTAAACATCAACTTACCATGGGAAGACCAGGTCAGCCACAGTTATACCATTCCATGGAGGATGGTCAAAGAACCAGTACCCTCCTCCTCCATAATTAACGAACACCATAATGACCAAACTTAACCTGAAACGTCATAAATAAATCTCTCATGTGGTTAGTGATTGGTTTGTAACCAACAATATATCTTAATTAGAAAACAACATAGATCCAAGATGTCGCAGAGCTACTATATTTGCCGAATTACTACCGATCTTTTTCATCTCTAAAATACAGAGGTGACTCTATATATACATGTTTTTAGTCAACAGACAGTAATCAAATTGGTATGGCAGGTTTCCGAGAGAATTTTCTACCAATTAACAAAATGTCAAACAAAATTTCACGAACTTCACGTTTGGTAAAATTGACTTGAAGTCAAGATACAACTAATAGTCGAATCGAGGATCATTTGACGATCCGGATTTCAAACAAATATCCGTGACTTGTGTTAAAATCTTCTAATTACGTACGATACACTTGTTTACACGTAGAATATTTCCGAGCTATTAAAAGTGCATTTGTGTTTCTCAAGATATTTATTGACGTCTATTAAATGTGCGACTTTTTATTCACCTGGGAAATGTCACTGTTAACTGTTATATAATTTTATCCTACCCTTGAACGGTTGCTACATGTAAGTGATGATCCTTGAGTTGTAATTAATTGTGATATTCCCTAGCTGTTCATTGAAGATTATTACGGATTTTCATTAATTAGTTTTACCTTCAAAAAATACTCTCCAAAATCAGACTCTGAATTTAAACAGTGGATATTTTTTCATTCTTTTTATTCGTTTTACATGCACTTTACAATATAATTATTATAGATCTAAGCATTAAACAAATCATTTTATTGTCTTAATCCTACCCTCTAAATGTATCCAGTGATTTCTCAATCCTACCCTCTAAATGTATCCAGTGATTTCTCAATCCTACCCTCTAAATGTATCCAGTGATTTCTGCTCCTCTGAATACAAGGGAGGTCGGATGTCCATTTCCAGGGTCCCGTAATTATCGGGGGCTGTCTTCTTCACCGTTCTCATATTCTATGGAGACAAAGGATTAAACAAGATACACAAATGAACGCCATCTCTCATTACAGTGTTATTGATGTATACAATATATATCAATTAACGCAATAAATCGGATTATAGACCTGTTCCGTTCTCAAAGAACGATGACGGGACCAAAAAGGTGGTGAAATAAAAGAGCAGAATCATTATCAACTGAAAGGAGGTTTAATGTCTATTTAAACGTTTTGTGATTTTGGAATATATAAAAATTGTTGTCATTTGATGCAAAGAAGTTTGACTTGAATGAGCTTCATGATGTTTCTGAATGTGGAATTTAGTTTTGTATTGTGTAACGTCTTACAACATTTCTGATCGGAAATGATCGATAATGTATTTTAGAGAATAAACTCGAGGTAAGTGTAACATAAACAATGCTAGTTCTATAGAAGGGAACTCAGTGATATATATATATATATATATAACTTACCGTGACGTGTAAATCATGCCTTGACCTATGACCCGGGTCAGTAATATTAGCCGACTGGGTACGGGTACGCTGTCTGTGAGAAAACGGACATCAACAGATTTATAACATATTTAGAAAATAAAAAAAAACATATTTCTTGGATAACGTAACAGAACACCAAAACCAAATATAACTACTACTTCATACTACGACAGGTATCGTTTGTAGTTGGAGTTACCTCCCTTGGTATCCTCCTCTGATGAGAAATATTTAATAAAGCGATATTATGACTATCGAACATTTCATTAATTCGAAATCCTTTGGAGGAACTAGGGGGTTTACTATGGGTATATATTAGTTATATTTTGTTATTTTAAATCATTCTCGGTGTAAAGTGACTCAGTATAGTAATGTAAAATATGGTGATATTGTGTATATAGTGATGTGTATGATGGTGATATTGTGTATATATAGTGATGTGTATGATGGTGATATTGTGTATATAGTGATGTGTATGATGGTGATATTGTGTATATATAGTGATGTGTATGATGGTGATATTGTGTATATATAGTGTGATGTGTGATGATGTGTGATATTGTGTATATAGTGAATGTAAAATATAGGTGATATTGTGTATATAGTGATGTGTATGATGGTGATATTGTGTATATATAGAGATGTGTATGATGGTGATATTGTTTATATATATATATAGTGATGTGTATGATGGTGATATTGTGTATATAGTGATGTGTATGATGGTGATATTGTGTATATAGTGATGTGTATGATGGTGATATTGTGTATATAGTGTGTATGTGTGATATATAGTGATGTGTATGGTGATATTGTGTATATAGTGATGTGTATGATGGTGATATTGTGTATATATAGTGATGTGTATATAGTGATGTGTATGATGGTGATATTGTGTATATAGTGATGTGTATGATGGTGATATTGTGTATATAGTGATGTGTATGATGGTGATATTGTGTATATAGTGATGTGTATGATGGTGATATTGTGTATATAGTGATGTGTATGATGGTGATATTGTGTATATAGTGATGTGTATGATGGTGATATTGTGTATATATAGTGATGTGTATGATGGTGATATATATATTGTGTATATAGTGTGTATATATATATATATAGTGATGTGTATGATGGTGATATTGTGTATATATAGTGATGTGTATGATGGTGATATTGTGTATATATAGTGATGTGTATGATGGTGATGATGGTGGTGATATTGTGTATATATTGTGTATATATGTGATGTGTATATAGTGATGTGTATGATGATATTGTATATAGTGATGTGTATGATGGTGATATTGTGATATTGTATATATATGTGATGTGTATGATGGTATATATAGATATTGTGTATATAGTGATGTGTATGATGGTGATATTGTGTATATATAGTGATGTGTATGATGGTGATATTGTGTATATAGTGATGTGTATGATGGTGATATTGTGTATATATAGTGATGTGTATGATGGTGATATTGTGTATATATTGATGTGTATGATGGTGATGTATATATAGTGATGTGTATGATGGTGATATTGTGTATATATAGTGATGTGTATGATGGTGATATTGTGTATATAGTGATGTGTATGTATATTGTGTATATAGTGATGTGTATGATGGTGATATTGTGTATATATAGTGATGTGTATGATGGTGATATTGTGTATATATAGTGATGTGTATGATGGTGATATTGTGTATATATAGTGATGTGTATGATGGTGATATTGTGTATATAGTGATGTGTATGATGGTGATATTGTGTATATATAGTGATGTGTATGATGGTGATATTGTGTATATAGTGATGTGTATGATGGTGATATTGTATATATAGTGATGTGTATGATGGTGATATTGTGTATATAGTGATGTGTATGATGGTGATATTGTGTATATATAGTGATGTGTATGATGGTGATATTGTGTATATATAGTGATGTGTATGATGGTGATATTGTGTATATAGTGATGTGTATGATGGTGATATTGTGTATATAGTGATGTGTATGATGGTGATATTGTGTATATAGTGATGTGTATGATGATTTTGTACTTGTAACTCTGTAGTTCCACCCATTCCTGACCCTGTGAAAAGCACAGACAACACGTATATGGTATGATCATGCTGAAGGGCCTTGTTGTGCAGCATGTGTTGGTTTTGCAGCAATTTGATTGGCCGTCGTCAGAATGGCGTTGAAGAAGGTTGACCTCTGGAAAGCGGCCAGTGACAGCTCTTAACGGATAATAGTGTCAATATTATTGTGTGTTGTAGTTATGAAATGGTATCAAGTATTTTATGTGATAAAACATGAAATCGTAGGGAAAATATTTAATATATATATGTTTGATATTGTGTTTTATTTGTCTGTGAATGTCAGTTTGTATATACCATAGGTTAAAACATATTTGTTTTTGATGACATTTCACTAAATTCGATGATAAAACTTTATGTGTTTTATACATCGATGAAGGTTATAGTCCTCTCTCAGTCTAGATTCAAGTAAAACTAAATCTAACAATAACAGCTGTATCTTAACAGTTGTTGATCAAAGGCTTCATATGTGTTTTTAGAAATATTGTCTCATTTTAACCAAAACATTCTTACGATTTATATACTATGATTTATATACTATAATCTATATATACTATGATTTATATACTATAATCTATATATACTATGATTTATATACAATAATCTATATATACTATGATTTATATACAATAATCTATATATACTATGATTTATATATACTATAATTTATATACTATAATCTATTTATATATACTATAATCTATATATACTATAATATTATATATACTATATATACTATATTTATATACTATAATCTATTTATACTATAATCTATATATACTATAATTTATATACTATAATTTATATACTATAATCTATTTATACTATAATTTATATATACTATATATTTATATACTATAATCTATATATACTGTATATACTATATATATACTATAATCTATATATACTGTAATCTATATATACTATATATCTATATATACCATGCTTTATATACTATATATACTATATATATACTATGATTTATATACTGTAATCTATATATATATACCATGATTTATATACTATATATACCATATATATACTATATATACTATAATCTATATATAATACTATATATACATGATTTATATACTATATATATACTATATATATATATACTATGATTTATATACTTATATACTATAATCTATATATACTATGATTTATATACTTATATACTATAATCTATATATACCATGATTTATATACTTATATACAATAATCTATATATACTATGATTTATATACTATAATCTATATATACTATGATTTATATACTATAATATATACTATATATACTATATATACTATGATTTATATACAATAATCTATATATACTATGATTTATATACAATAATCTATATATACTATGATTTATATACTATAATCTATATATACTATGATTTATATACAATAATCTATATATACTATAATTTATATACAATAATCTATATATACTATGATTTATATACAATAATCTATATATACTATGATTTATATACAATAATCTATATATACTGTGATTTATATACAATAATCTATATATACTATGATTTATATACAATAATCTATATATACTATGATTTATATACTATAATCTATATATACTATGATTTATATACAATAATCTATATATACTATGATTTATACACTGGTGATATTGATATCTCTACTGTACCTGTAGCAGTAAACAACAACTTTAACGAGGATGAAGAGTCCTAGGAGTCCAGCAAATACATACAGGATTGCTGAAACCATAAAGAACCATCAACGATACCACTAGACTATCGACACACTATTGATAAATATACGTAGTGAAAATAGCATTGGGATCGTCATTATGAAAATTCGAGAGCATAAAAAAGAAACAAGAAAATACCAAAATGTAAACATAATCCTGACTCAAATCAATAAAACAAGGCCATAATTTGAACAAAAGGAAGATTTACAAGGAAATTCCTGTAAAAGTACAAAAGGAATAAAACCCATGTGTTTCGGAAGAGTAGGTGTCTTCTGCTTCATCGGCGACACCCGACATGATAAAAGTACGGGAACACAAGTGAATGACACTGTACAACGTTGTAAAATAATCATTGAAGCTGCATCAGTCGTCAGTGAGCAGAGACAACGTCAAGATAAACAAACAGGGTGATGGACTTACCCAATATTTCAACAAAAAATTATCTCGAAAGTCTACGATTTAAAAATAAAAACTAATTTTACGCGTATATTGTCAACCTTGACATTACTCCAATGAAATGAAATATGACAGCCGGTGGTTCGCCAAACCTCGGGGACTAAAGTACACTCGAGAGAGTCTACTCTTTGTTATCTCAAAGGATTGTAAACAAAAGTAAATAACACTTTTCCAAACCAATATACAATCAAATACAGTATAACCAAGATTATAGCAATGTTCAACAGGTCAAACCATTGGAAATATTAGATAAAAAAATACGTACGCATTTCCGCTGGAAGTGGATCATTGGTCAGCATGATGTCGCACAATCCAGAAGTGTATGACGAATACTTCAGAACTAGCAAGTAGTCACCGTTCTCTTTGAACTTTTCCTCAATCCTATAAAGATTATAGATAATAAGATCAATGATCTCTTCGCGACGCAGGGGTGGACGACTTAGGTATCACATTTACGCCGGTATTATTTCTAAAGTCGAATCCCACACCCTGCAGCAGCACCCTTATATTGTGTTATATAGCTAGAGCTTGAGTATAAGGTGTGTAACTCAAATCAGGACATTCAGATTACTTTGGTTCATTTAAGGGTGAAAATGGGAACTAGTATTTTGTGGTATTGGAAGAATTGAGATTTTATTTATTCATTATTTTGAAAAGGAGAAAATAAAACGATCCACACAACCATTGTAGAGTATGATATACAATATTAACTATATAGAGATATACTATGATACATAGCACGCTAATATTCTGACAAATGTTTTGTCTGAAAGAGCACGCCCAGAAGCTGCTAGATGTGTTACTCTCCTCTACCATACGTACTATTCTCATCATTAGCCAAACGAGCTATACAATTAACAGAACACGCGATGATAATTACACACGAAGAAACTAATACATGGCGTATATATAAAGTGGAAATAGAGGAATCAGCTGGAACAATTCCCACCAATTCATAATGATAGATAAATTAAGTTGACAGCCATACTCGCAAAAAGTCTCCTTTATTCCACTCGGTAGGTGTCGCTGCAGTCTAAGCCTTGTTCCGAATGTTGTGTTGACCACTAAGGTAGTGGTGGTCAGTCCGGGTGCTTCGCCCCATAACACGTACGGACACTATAATATACAACAAACAGAACACGTGTTAGTATTTTGTAGTATAAATAATCGGGGCGATTTCAAAATGACCATTTGGTCCTGTCGTCTGTTCCTTCAGTATTGTAATCACTGAATACTACAGGGAAAGCCTTACCCCAAATTGACTTTTCCTGTTAATGGACGATAAATCCAGCAAAAACAAAACAACAACAAAAAACATCACGTTTGCAGAAAATTCTGTTTACTGTAATAAGTGCTATTTTCTAGAGTCCTTGTTTAGCATTTTTGTGGTTGAGGTAAAATAGCAAAAAAATAAAATAATGTCTTAAAGGAAAATTAATTAGAGAAAACATTACGCATTCTATATACATGCTTCTGTTTAAACCGCGAACATTTCAATCATCGATTTGAACAGCGTCAAGGTATTCGGTATTGTAAAATAGCATGATAAAAGATCTACCACGAGGATAACTACTCGAAAACTACTATAGTATTATAGACAGCAACCCTGACTTGGAATGATAGTTAAAGATTGTACAACACACAAGTAAATAACGTCCTTCATAGATTACATAAACACAGCCAAACAATGAATCAAACTGTATCATACAGCTGTTTCGTCCCTGTAGGACTCGTCAGTGATGCTGTATCATACAGCTGTTTCGTCCTTCTAGGACCTGTCAGTGGTGCTACATCATACAGCTGTTTCGTCCTTCTAGGACCTGTCAGTGGTGCTAAGGGCCTTAATTCGAAGACTAGGAGGCGACTGAGAAAAGTCAAAATCTAGACGGTGAGGTGCAGCAGTCCCATAATCATATAAATTTCGCAATTTTCATATATCAGATAGTTTTATAACAATGTCAAGTACGTGTGTATATTCTATGTTTGAGTCTGTTTTATGGCAAACGTCAGGGGATTAAAAGTCCACCAGCAATGTCTACCACCTGCTATTTCAAAGATTGCACAAAAGACACACAAGTGAAAACTACCTTATAATACAACTAGATACAGTAGCGCCAGATAATGAATAAAACTTCACCATACAACTGTTTTGTCCTTCTAGGACTTGTAGGTGATGCTACATCATACAGCTGTTTCGTCCCTGTAGGACTCGTCAGTGATGCTACACCATAAAATTGTTTCGTCTTTCTAGGACTCGTCAGTGATGCTACATCCTACAGCTGTTTCGTCCTTGTTGGACTCGTTATTGATGCTATACCATACAACTTTTTGGTCCTTCTAGCACTCGTCGGTGATGCTACATCATACAGCTATTTCGTCCTTCTAGGACTCGTTAGTGATGCTACATCATACAATGTTTCGTCCTTCTAGGACTCTCAGTGATGCTACATCCTACAGCTGTTTCGTCCTTATAGGACTCTCAGTGATGCTAAGGGTTTAAATATTAAAGCCTTGGAGGCGACTGAGGAAACTCAAAAATGATTGAAAGAAAAGTGAAAGCTAAAGTGAGAAACAAACATTGAATATATATATTTTCTTACTTATAATGGTCAAAATTATTTCAAGATTTGAAATAGAAATGAAATATTCAAGAACGCTTTTCAATGTATGAGGTGCTGTCGCATCAACTACTATGACAATAGGTCACCAATGTATGACTCAGTGTAGCTATTAAACCCGTTTTGTATATCTCCTTTGGACTAATGTGTTCCGTTCACCTGTAAATAATCATGTTTGTTGTCATATTTTCCGGATTAAAGCGTCTGAGTTGATCAAACCAGCGATGTTACTAACCGATTATCCGCGTTACATAACGTTTATAGTTTAGCAACCCCTGGCCCTCCAGAACCACAATCGTCCTTGATCTGTCTGTTTTCTTGGTTAACAATCCAATTTTGTTGCTAGTTGTTGACGTTTTCAGTTTTTATCTGCTAAACATTACATCTTTTTTTTTAAAAAAAAGGTACGTACATGGAGACTGATTTATGTACTTTATGACAATGTGTCAGCCGATAATTTGAGAGCGTATGAAGAGACATTATGTTGAATTGGTGATTAAAATTATTTAGTTTTGTTAAGCCACATAAACTAATGTGCTTTGTGTGAGGGCGATTAAACCAGATTTATAATATTTGAAAAATAGTAAAAACATATTTCATAATTTAGTGAAGAACGAGACAACTTCTTTAGATACAGATGCTAGTAATTATCTCCCCTTTTAGATGAAATAATTAGTAAATATTTTTGCCTTTGAGTACCATTTTACAAGTTCACCAGTGAAATGTTCAAATTATATTAAGAGATATTTGCAACATATATTCATTACGGTGCGACCTTATAACACTCAGTGTTGATGTAGAAGATGGAGGTAGTAAACTGGACGGTTGAGTTGATTGTCAGCCATGCTTCGTCGAACTGGATGGCCGGTTTTGTATCGGACCGTTCCGCTAGAGTTCCTGTGATGTAACCTGGTACAATATAAGAAATGACAGGAAATGCATTATTTTCTGTAGAAAAACATGTATACTGTGTTCTATTGTTTACGCTTGAAAGCAAGTTAATCATATTTCAAATTTTGCGTAAGTATAACAAGTACAGTCGAACTTCATTATTTCGAAGTCGGCGGAATTGTGGGAAATCTTCGAGTTATCCCGAGTATTCTTTCTAAGTAAGTTCGAATGACTAGTGTAAAATTTGTTTGGACCCGACATAATACTTCGAATTAAACGGGGCTTTCGATTTATATGAGTTCGAGATAATGAGGTTCAACTGTATTACAGTAAGGAATGAGATTATGTTTTGCCTTTTGATACCAGTACTCTAAATGTAACGTAAATATGGAGAGATAAAAAGTCATGTACATTAAAAATGACAAGTTTGAATCATACTTGAACACACTAGTAATGGAATCACTACAAAAAACTACAGCAAAAAGCAAGCCATGTCGATGTTTCACATCCAATATGTAAAAGGAAATGAATACATTTTGTCGATGGATCGATTACCTTAATGTGATGTAAGAAAAACACTGAGTTTTATTTCAGAGCTATTTAGTGTGTTTAATCATCATTTTACGAACAATGACTGTAGTTAATTATTCAGTTACGAAGGGAACAGTACCCATTACACGAACCTACAGTTACGAAGACTATCACCTTACAAATAAAAGTCTGTTTACGTGTTCATTTTATTAGTTACAACAGATCCAAAGTGATACACAACATCATATACTGTAAATCACTTTGATTTTGCGAATACTTTATTTCGCGAACTTACATCTTCAGAAATATTTGCGAAAGCATTGTTTTTATGAATGAAACTATGTTCAAGCATCGCATGATGTTTTTCGTTTTGTAATCTGTAACAAGTCCATGATTATTGTCTAATTTCAGGATGTGTTTCTTAATAATTTTACTTCAATGAGAAAACATGTCGCGACAAAATGTTGGATTTCAATGATCCTTGTTATCTGTAACGTTATCATCTGGACACTGGTCAACATTGAAATATACAGGCATTTTATCACAACAAATTATTCATAACGTAGATAGCGGCACTTCATCTGAAGTAATTTTCTATACTTACTACCATGCTTTTATTGTAACAAATCAGAAATGATTCGATGTCTCAGAGTATCTCATTGTTCTTTAGAATTACAATGCTGTATTCCAAGTGTATTAGTGACACGCCACTAGGTGACCATGCTTTTTTCACAGAAAATGAATTTTTATATACATTACAAACAGAATTATATTACATCTGAAAAAACGAGATTGGAAAAGTTGAACTGTAAAGCATAAAGATTAAAATAAGGGTGATGGATCCTACAGGAAGCTTGGCGTCCACCATTGTTTGATCTTTATTTGTTCTTTGAAAACTCTTCATTTCTCTTCTTTTCTCTGATTTTGCTCTCGATTAAATAAAATCGAAAATTACTTTTAAGAAATATTGATAATTATCTGATAACTGTAAAATCCAAGATGGCCGCCTTAAACAATAATACTTACCTAGTCGGTCCCGAAATCGAAAATATACCACTAGGTACAAAGGGCAAACGTACGAAATTTGAGAAAGATCTATTCAGTATTTCAAAAAATGGCGATAACGAACTTCATTGAAAAAATTCAAGTAGGTCGCTAGTCAGCCTAGATCACTCCCAAAATCGAAATGGTACCGCCAAGGAGCAAGAGAAACTGTCCACTACTTAGAAATAGCGATAACAATCTAAAATCAAGAAGGCCGCATATTGGCCATATTGTTTTCAGGTCAGTCCAAAAATGAACTACATGCAACAAGAGATCATTAGAAGACCTACTCGTAACATCCAAGATGGATACATCAAGTAGACCCCGAGAAATACAGATTGCTATTTAAGGATAGGCGGACAACGGGTACAAAAATTTCGCTGTTTTAAAAAGTTCTATTCGGTCGCCTTACAAGATAGAATTGTTATGCGATGACAATAAATCGAGAACGTAACAATTACCGGTATAAAATGTTTAAGTGAATTATTTAAATTCTTGGAGTACATCTGTAATTCTAATGCATTGAACTATAACAGTAATCATAAGGTCGGGTTTACAGTTTCGGTTCCAGACAACTTGTCACGGTAATCATGAGGTCGGGTTTACAGTTTCGGTCCCAGGCAACTTGTCACGGTAATCATGAGGTCGGGTTTACAGTTTCGGTCCCAGGCAACTTGTCACGGTAATCATGAGGTCGGGTTTACAGTTTCGGTCCCAGACAACTTGTCACGGTAATCATGAGGTCGGGTTTACAGTTTCGGTCCCAGACAACTTGTCACGGTAATCATGAGGTCGGGTTTACAGTTTCGGTCCCAGGCAACTTGTCACGGTAATCATGAGGTCGGGTTTACAGTTTCGGTCCCAGACAACTTGTCACGGTAATCATGAGGTCGGGTTTACAGTTTCGGTCCCAGGCAACTTGTATCATGAGGTCGGGTTTACAGTTTCGGTCCCAGACAACTTGTCACGGTAATCATGAGGTCGGGTTTACAGTTTCGGTCGCAGACAACTTGTCACGGTAATCATGAGGTCGGGTTTACAGTTTCGGTCCCAGACAAATTGTCACGGAAATCATGGGGTCGGGTTTACAGTTTCGGTCCCAGACAACTTGTCACGGTAATCATGAGGTCGGGTTTACAGTTTCGGTCCCAGACAACTTGTCACGGTAATCATGAGGTCGGGTTTACAGTTTCGGTCCCAGACAACTTGTCACGGAAATCATGGGGTCGGGTTTTACAAATTCGGTCCCAGACAACTTGTCACGGTAATCATGAGGTCGGGTTTACAGTTTCGGTCCCAGACAACTTGTCACGGTAATCATGAGGTCGGGTTTACAGTTTCGGTCCCAGACAACTTGTCGCTTTAATCATGAGGTCGAGTTTACAGTTTCGGTCCCAGACAACTTGTTACGGTAATCATGGGGTCGGGTTTACAGTTTCGGTCCCAGACAACTTGTCACTTTAATCATGAGGTCGGGTTTACAGTTTCGGTCCCAGACAACTTGTCACTTTAATCATGAGGTCGGGTTTACAGTTTCGGTCCCAGACAACTTGTCACGGTAATCATGAGGTCGGGTTTACAGTTTCGGTCGCAGACAACTTGTCACGGTAATCATGAGGTCGGGTTTACAGTTTCGGTCGCAGACAACTTGTCACGGTAATCATGAGGTCGGGTTTACAGTTTCGGTCGCAGACAACTTGTCACTTTAATCATGAGGTCGGGTTTACAGTTTCGGTCCCAGACAATTTATCACGGTAATCATGAGGTCTTTGTTATTATCCAAACTCTGATATACACTTGTTGTCAGAAGTTTACTGATCAGCCTGATTTTTCAAAAAAATACCCCCCCCCCCCCAAAAAAAAAAAAAAAAAAAAAAAACAAAAAATAAAAACAAAAACAAAACAAAACAAAACAAAAAAAAGATAATCTGATAAGCTTAGCTGACACAATATTTTCGGAGAAGGATGCAAGCTTTTTTCAGTTCTTTTAAATTTGAAACACGTTAAAATTTGAATTATACATATTGATATAAGAAAGTGTATTTCATACGGTGTGTATGAAAGGCATACAACGTTTCATGATCAGCGAAGGTTGGGAAGATATTTCTGGTCAATTTGTCATTTTGATAATAGTACAAGTCACAATATATATTCCACGTTTATTTTTGTTCTGTTTTTTGTTTTATTTCAGCCCTATACATTTCAGATTCCCGATATCATTGAATAAAGACCTGACCAGTTGAAAAGGCCGTCGTTTAGTTTAATATCTCCTTTCCATCGTTGATCTTAGTCACTTCGTCTACATTATTGAACAATTACAGTGAATGCACAGTGCTTTTAGTCCCTAACGGCGAAATGTTCACGTAATGCAACCACTTGTACAGATAAAGTAATAGTTCTATTAAGTGGAGTTTCTGTCATTTTGTACACGTGATTCTGCCTTAGGGTCTGTCCACATGAGAGTATTCCATTACTGGACCTGATAGACACTACGGTAATAAAGCTTGCAGTATGAACATTCGTCCGCTGATAGACAGACACTGCTGGTTATATAATTATCAGCATGAGTATTCGTCCGCTGATAGACAGACACTACTGGTTATATAACTATCAGCACGAGTATTCGTCCGCTGATAGACGGACACTACTGGTTATTTAGCTATCAGTATGAGTATTCGTCTGCTGATAGACAGACACTACTGGTTATATAACTATCAGCACGAGTATTCGTCCGCTGATAGACAGACACTACTGGTTATATAACTATCAGCACGAGTATAAGTCCGCTGATAGACGGACACTACTGGTTATTTAGCTATCAGTATGAGTATTCGTCTGCTGATAGACAGACACTACTGGTTATATAGCTATCAGTATGAGCATTCGTCCGCTGATAGACAGACACTACTGGTTATATAGCTATCAGTATGAGCATTCGTCCGCTGATAGACAGACACTACTGGTTATATAGCTATCAGTATGAGCATTCGTCCGCTGATAGACAGACACTACTGGTTATATAGCTATCAGTTTGAGCATTCGTCCGCTGATTGGCGGAAAGGCCATGGACATAAAACCCAATAAGTAAATTGTTTTGTATATCATTAATCTTTCAGGTTACATTCTGATCATTATAAATATTTCTCAATTGTAACATTATATGTTGGGAATAAAATTTTTCACCTGTATGAATTACAATTGAGCAGTAAAAATTGCAGGGGGTAGGATTGGTATCCCAGTACCAAGTCATGGCCAATTACAAATGCTGTATATTTTTCTGAAATCTATATATTCCATAGCGATTATCTTTGGTGTAAACGATCTAATTTATCTAACATTACTTTGAATCAACAGGTTTAAAATGCAACCACATGTATATTGTTTTTACGACTGTTAAAATGCTGATGATCTGTTTTTTACAAACAATTTGAATTCGGAAGTCAAAACTCTTTGCACGTTATACAGGCAACACTGACTGATAAGCTGGCTGTGTAAAATACCTGAGTCGTGTTTCTTTTTCGACACTTTTGTCGTCTCTCAAGGCTCTTTAAATTATATTCACTTGTTACTAACTAGCAACTGTTTAAATGTTTGACATTGATATCCATATCTGTGACATATTACGTACGTATACCTGTCATTTATGACACCAAATGGTATATTTACCATAGTCCTTGAACAGTAGGTAAAAAGATATTTCAAGTATGCCACTCAAACTTCACTGTTATATATATGAAAAACTTTTCCTATACCTATTTTTTATACTCAATGTGTACCCTAATGCTAATCACGAGTAAACGATTTGTTTCATTAGAACTACACTACAGATTTCTACGGAAAAGAACGATCAAATTCCCATAAACAAAGTCACAAATATCAAATATGTGCATGTGTCATATAATTAAAATGGTTTAAAACCGAATCGTAAATACATAGTCTACATTTACGAATTCTTTATAGGTGCAATAAGTGACCCCCTCCTTCGCTATCATCACCACATAGCCACAAAGTTGTGTGTGTTTAGATAGACAAGTTCTTTATATCCATTCTAAGCGTTTACAAACATGATGACAGAATGAAACCAGGTCAAAAATGCTGAAGATATACTTACACAACAGAAGGAAACACAAACGATGCCACATGATTAGAATTCCACGATATGGCTATCCAAGCAACATTACCGTGAACTGATTAAGTATACAGGAGAGCTGTGGTAGAAGATGTCTCTCACTGTATGTATATACTAATATATAATGTGATAACTTAAAACTACGGCAGCCGACAGGAGACACGTGTGCTATTATAGTCGTGTTTGTCAGTTACGATGTACCAGGGTTTACACATTACAATGAAATATGTTTATAGGTGAATTATCTCATTTGTAACGGCAATTTATCATGTTAAAATGTCAACAACTCACATGTTCAAAGTGTGGTCAGCTTAACGTGTTGTAACCAAGAAATTTGAATTATCAAGTCCTGCTATCATGGCAGAATCGTTGGTTGGTGATAAGTTGGAATTACAGCTGTAATTTCCTTATTAGGAAACTTAAAATAACTGGAAATTTTATGTTAATTTGGTAGACTGAGAGGGACAATTTATTTTAAGAGATGAAAAATAGATATGATATCATTAAAGTCCTAACTACAAGTCTTTGTTTTTATAGGCTTGTGAATTCACGCGAGGTGTTGGCTGTACACGTAGAGAGAAATGTTACTGAACTCTGTATGTAGAGTGAGGTTTTACTAAACTCCTGACGTGAGCAGAGATTTTACCAAACTCCTGACGTGAACAGAAATTTTACCAAACTCCAGACGTGAACAGTGATTTTACTAAACTCCTGACGTAAACAGAGATTTTACTAGACTCTACACGTAAACAGAGATTTCACTAGACTGTTCCAAATAACTACTAAATGAGTATTTTCCCTGAACTTTTCTGTACAGTATGACGTGTAAAGGCCTCCTTATCAGATGAAAGCACCTATAAATATTTTGTTGTCGAGCTGTCTTTAAGACTAAGATCGTCTGCCGTACATCAAGTATTCTGCATACCTGTAGTGACGGGGACTCGGTGTGAGCGAAGGCGGCAAAAGTAAATAAATGTGACGTCACAACAAAGTAACACAATCTGCCTGCAGCGTCTTATCTCGGTATACATGTGGTTTATTACCGTCTGCTTCATTACATGTTAATGAAGGACGGTACAAATTAGCTCGGTATGATAACTCCGCGAGCTTATTCTAAAATGTGATAATTGTGTAAAACTGACCATTCGATGTAAATATTGTTACATTTTTGTAATACATTTCATCAATTTCGCACTGAACGGAAACAGAGAACGTCGATTTCTCCACCATCAATTTCAGTTTCAGATTGAGCGGAAACATACAGGGACCGTTCTTTTCTCCACCATCAATATCAGATTGAGCGGAAATATGCAGGGACCGTTCTTTTCTCCACCATCAATATCAGATTGAGCGGAAATATGCAGGGACCGTCGATTTTCCATCATCAATTTTACACGGAGTGGAAACATAAAGGGACCGTTCTTTTTCTCCACCATCAATATCAGATTGAGCGGAAACATACAGAGAACGTCGATTTCTCCACCATCAATATCAGATTGAGCGGAAATATGCAGGGACCGACGCTTTTCCATCATCAATTTTACACTGATTGAAAACATAAAAGGACCGTCAATTTCTCCATCATCAATTTCAAACTGAGCCGAAACATACAGAGAACGTCCATTTCTCCACCATCAATATCAGATTGAGCGGAAATATGCAGGGACCGTCGATTTTCCATCATCAATTTTACACGGAGTGGAAAGATAAAGGGACCGTCAATTTCTCCATCATCAATTTCAGACTGAGCCGAAACATACAGAGACTGTCCATTTCTCCACCATCAATATCAGATTGAGCGGAAATATGCAGGGACCGTTCTTTTCTCCACCATCAATATCAGATTGAGCGGAAATATGTAGGGACCGACGCTTTTCCATCATCAATTTTACACGGAGTGGAAGGATAAAGGGACCGTCAATTTCTCCATCATCAATTTCAGACTGAGCCGAAACATACAGAGACTGTCCATTTCTTCACCATCAATATCAGATTGAGCGGAAATATGCAGGGACCGTTCTTTTCTCCACCATCAATATCATATTGAGCGGAAATATCCAAACTTGAAATTCGTAAGCAATTCTTTGCTCAACACGCCGTGTAAACAATCTCTCGGAATAGTGTGGCCACCAACCTCCTTCAAAAATCTACTTCATAAACACTAGGGAAATCAAATCATAACCTTTGATTATAAATATGAAGTATTTCCATGATATATTCCAACGTCACATTTTTAATTATCTACAAATGCTTTATTTTTAATAAATCCGATGTAGAGGATCTTTAAACATCATGTTCTGGAAACTAACTTAATTAAAACGAGATTTTTACCTTCGGTTATCTCCCCTTGTATGATGAGCACGGATATTGCAAATGTCGAAGATGTCATTGCTTTGGTAGGAGGATACATACCTAATTAATAAAAAAAAACCTTTTGATAGAGTTCATCACTGTTATATGTTTAAAGGGCTGTTACTCTTGTGTGATCATAGTCATATGTATTGATTTTAGGTTATAAGTTTTAGAGAAAAAAAAACACCAAAAAACAACCAACCAACAACAACAAAAGAATTTTTTAAAAATGAATAAATAAATAAGATTTTACCACTTCTAATATTACATAGCTAATGCTTGTGTACGGTCAAGTTCTTTCCTAAATCCGATTTATTTTCTGTAAATATATAACTGCTAACCTCGACAGACTTTCCCGCTTTTATCCGGCACTTATAAAAAAACAAACAAACAAAAGTTTTGAGCGACAAAAACAAAAAGGAAATATGATGGCGACTGTCAGGAATGAGACGGATACTAGTGTGCACCGTCGATAACCCACGGTCTTGACGTTCAAACTTGAGCGCCGTCAGGACCACTGGACGGCAACATTTAGTGGTCAACGGGAGCTAACTCTTAAAACTTAAATAAAACTAGAAAATCTGAAGAGCGAGCTAAATAAAAATAAATCTAAACACATGACCCCTCCTAAGGTTACAAAAATACTTCAGTTATAAGTCATACGATACAGAGGTGGATTGAGACTTACTCGTTCGTTTGCGCCCCACCCCTCCAGCCTATTTTGATAAACGAAATTAGTTATCTATTCATCTAGAACGCTATATATATATCAAGTGAAATGACACCATGTCGATAGCTGATTCTGTGTCAGTGACAGAATTGTAACTAAAATAGACAGTCCTAGTTATACACAATACAAATGGTGTAGAATCTACGTTATCTACCTTTTTCACTGTTTTAAGATATTACTTCCCCTAACATTACTACTATCCGGGGTCGAGTTTATCTACATGTCCCTATGTCTACCTTGTCATACTGATCGTGGTGTCCAGTTGGTTGTTATGCTAGAGTATAAACGTGTAAGTAAAACAGATGCTGCCAGATTAAAGCACGCTGGACAGCTTTGCTAATGTTCGTGACCCTGCCACGTCCAACACTTCGTGAAACAAGTAGAGATAATAACTAGGGATATATATAAATTGTATAAAGAGTTGACTATCAAAAGATTGTTAATCCTGTCTATATTTTCTGTACCTTGTCAAAATAAATCTGTATCTATGTATCTATGATATGTTATGGCTGTAGGTAATAATGTATTGGTTTTGTGGATTATATAATATACCGTGTCGGTATTGTAATCTACGGTGGCTGGGAAAGGACATCATAAAGTTTTATTGTCAGGAATGCAAGATATATGTCTCGAGCAACAATACCTTTCTTGCGTTTCCACTCAATAATATTTCGTTCCCTTGCATTAACAAACTGGCGGTCCCACTCATTGTTATTACGATCCCTCGAATTGATACTACGTACCCACACAGTAAATGCTCTCTGTAACGTCTGTTCTCTGCCACTGTATAAACCATTTCTACAGAAGTCAATAATTATGATCATTTTGATTTTTATTATTTTTTAAAAAACGAACTGTCTTTCAGCTTACATGTTATATAAGCTGCTATTTCTGTTTGGTAACTTTGAGTGGTGTATGTGAATGAAAACTCTATCATTCTAGAATGACATACACGTGGAAGTAAGGAAGGTGCAGACATCAAGAGGGTGCCTATTTCCAAATTGACTCAGTTATTTAGAAAAGATAACGTTGAAGAAATTGTGATCTCTCGATAAATACATTTTCAATTAAGAAGCACTCATATGGGTGTAAATTGTACTAGCGTGCTGGCATTTTTATACCGCTGATCATCGTGGTCTAAGTATTTGACATTGACAGAATTTCATTGTCTGTATACATTGTATATTGTGTAGACTGATGGGCAGTGTAGATTTTCCCAAGATAAGAAAGGTTTGTATGATAACGGACTCAGATTTTACATAACTAAGTATACAGTACTTAGGTAATTGATAATCTGCGACACTTTGGAATTTCTGAAAGGCCTCTTACGTCATATAATGTTTTTATTGATTTCATTTCATTCCAACTAAACTCAGGGCGAACATAGAATTTCAAAGACGAATTTAGAAATAAAACTTCTAAATGCGTGTACGTACTTACAATGATCAACATCTGTATAAAATTTATCAATAATATTGACACAGAGACTTAATAAAACGAATATATGTAGCTGTAGTTTTAAGGATAAATGTTCTAGAAATATACACATTGATTAATGCAGATCTTATTACATATAATACATGATAATTAGTTCATTATTTGTATCAAGCAATTCCAAAAATAGTTTTGTTTTATTAGCAATCGAATCTTATACCACACACATAAAACAAACAAAAACAAAACAAACAACAACATATAAATAAAACCTTCGCCATTTCATGTTTTGATATGTACATTGTGTTTAGTAAATTTGGTTTAACCAGTGTCGTTGATATATTATTTCTATAGTCGTAGTTTTTATTTGCAGATGGTTGTTTATCGATTTTAATAGAAATTTGTTTACCTGGTTACGGATGGATGCTTATTGACTATAAGCATGGTAGTTTCCGGTTTTACCTGGTAACCGATGGTTGCTTATTGACTATAAGCAT